ACATTAAACGGGTATGATTATGTATTTTAAAGGCTTATATAAAGCCCTTTGTATTTTAGAGCACAAAAAGTCTCGAATGTGTGTTTATGGAGCGGCTAGAACTAAACAGTTACCACACGTATCAAGCATTTTTGCACAGAAACCACAAATCCAGATGGTATTTGTCAATAAATGGAGAAGGAAGGCCAGCTAATGGAAAGAGAAGTAGATATTACAAAAAGTCAAGTCAGTTTGTAAGAGTTTCAAGGCTTTAAGGAGAAATGTCGTAGATAAAGTAGTTTCAATTATCAGAGCTCTGATAAAATGAGCATTAAATGTATGGCACAACGGAGGAGAGCAAAATAACATGCCAGATTAGTGAAGGAAGAGACAACTGATATCAATGGCTTTTACATTTCTCGGTGTGTTAACGTATTGACTATAGATTTCTTTTAGCAAAAATTATTTCTCGTAAATGTTCCAGAGTTTATTATATATAAATTTAATCTTGTTCAAGAGTTCAGAAAACGCTTCAACGTCCCTCGGATGAAATATTGCCCTAATTACCTTCCTTAAAACTTTTCCCACAGCAAGGAGAAAGAATGTTTTCTGAACTCTATCGAATCCACAATTTTAACATAGCTTCAGGGCGTGGCCCGAAAAAATACTTTCCAAATAGCTTACACAAGGAGAAAATTGAATAATGTCAATAAGACATTTTTGCCATTGAAAAATGATAGAAGTTACAAAATTATTTCAGTTCTAAAGCAATGCAGTTCCCATCATATTAACTTAATTACAGAGGTCTGACCTTTTTGCCAAAGAACTCTAATCCATAAGCATGAACTCGACCTCATCACTTTGACCTTTGGATTTCGACCTTTCCAAAACTCTAAACTGTGACCTTGAATTTTATTTAAGTAGTGAAGGCGCTCAGAATTTTAATTTTGGGAATAAAGAGGTTACATGCAGATAGCTTGTAAGTTTGAAGTTAAAGAAAATTGCATTTCACTGTAAAGCAATATACAGGTTGCTCAAATCTAGATTATCTATAACTTTTAGCTGTAAAATACGCATAAATAGAGAAATTTTATCTACAGAGAATACAAATTGAAATATATATATATTGTTAGTTAGTTAGTAGGTATCAATGTATATTGTAGGTTATATTGAATAATATCAATGTAGATTGAATCGAACAGAAGTTATGTTTCAAAATTTGATTCTGCGGCTTTCTGATGTAAAAACCTTGTCTTTGATAACAATTGAATATGGAGAGAATAGATGGACTTTTTTGCTAAGGGTATATAAAAAATAATTGTTCTTTGATATGACTTAGTAATGAAAATTAGCGTGAACTGCAACAGAATCTGATTCCTTAGCTAATAATTTGATTTATTCATAACGTCATTGAGTATTCACTTTTGTTACCTCAAAACATGTGGAAAATTCAGTACGACTGGATTGCCTTCCATTTACATTACGTTCCATCTACAAAGATTCGAATCATAGATTTTTCTTTTTAATGGACCTGCGAATTTTGTTCAAATTAGTAAAACTTTCAATTACACGAGTTCGAATTAGTCTGCGTTGGCTGAATTGTTACTTTCCTGATTAAAGACAAAAGCAATAAGGTACAACCATTTATGCAAAAAGAGGCAAATGTAAGATATTGTTACCATAAGATCCTACACGATCTTTAATAGCTGCAAAGAAGACATTCGCATATAAGGCTATAAGGCTGCTCGACCAGGACCACCAAAATATAATATAACTTGGCAATATAAAGAAGAAAATCAAACTATCGAAATGAACTATAGAGCTGGAGCAATTCTAATGCCATCAGATGGCAGTTATTTGAAGGGCATTTGTATCAATCTTTCTCTCACAAACCAGGCTAAACGGTATTTAATAACCAAATATTTGCAATATATTAATTTTACAATCTTTATAAATATTTCAGTAAGTGGTAATGCTTTTGAAACTGACATGTTAAAAGAAGAAATGTAGTAAAAAGGAAATTATAACTAAATGAAGTACACTATAAGTCTTAAACAAGTTTAAAAGGAAAGAGTGGCTGCGTACTTGAAATTCTTTATTGACAGCATTTTGCAGGTACCAAGAAAAGGTGCCATGCTGTTTTAGATTCCTTATCTAAGCTCTTCCAAAGGTTGGCTAATGCGAAAATGATTTCTGACCATCATTCGCTTTTAGAAGCGGTAATATTGGATTTGTATTAGTGGAACATTGTTAACCGTTACTTCTTTACTTCAATGCCAAGCATCAAGCATTACTTTGTGTTACTTGGGTACCAAGTGCTACTTAGGTACAAGGCGCTACTTGGGTACCAGCGTTACTGGGTTACCAGGCGCTACTTAGGTACCAGGTGCTACTTGCGTACAAGGCGCTACTTAGGTACAAGGCGCTACTTTGGTACAAGGCGCTACTTTGGTACAAGGCGCTACTTTGGTACCAGCGTTACTGGGGTACCAGGCGCTACTTAGGTACCAGGTGCTACTTGCGTACAAGGCGCTACTTAGGTACAAGGCGCTACTTTGGTACAAGGTGCTACTTGCGTACAAGGCGCTACTTAGGTACAAGGCGCTACTTTGGTACCAGCGTTACTGGGGTACCAGGCGCTACATAGGTACCAGGTGTTACTTGGGTACCAGGCGTTATTTGGGCCCAAAGCTTTTATACGGCACCAAGCAACGTTTGTTGTACTAAATTTTGCAGAATCATAATCTTGCAATCTTTGTTTAAATTCCTGTAACCGCAGTAGAAACAGTGCTCACTTGGGATGATAGGAAGAACCTCACCGGCACGGTTTCTCTCTGACCAAAGAATATCCGTGTCAATTTAGGCCCAAAAAGTCCAGCAGCGTTGACTGTACTAACAGCGTTACAGAAAATCCCAACGACTAACTCTGACTCTTGAATTTCCCTGTTATGGGAATCGAGCCATAGTTTAACTGAAACAAATGAGACCCACATCAAGCAATTGGCGTACATCGTGATGCCAATGCTTGAAGCTTCGTTAAAATTCTCCGGGAATCTTCTGGTTTTGTAGGCGTAAAATGTGCATTGGAGCATGAAGATGGAGCACGGAAGCAGGTTCAGCAGGAAATTAAACCGGTTTGATTTGCACGTGAGAAACACATGATCTCCATCTGGAGATCGGGTAGGCATCACCAAAGGTGGATCGGCCAGTATCCAAGCAGTGCTGAGCAAGACTTGCAGACCCAGGAACAGCAAACAGATTGTTATTTGCGATTTTGTGCTAACTAGAATAGGCGTTCGGGCTAATTTTGCTGCCTCGAAAATGCGATAGATTCTGTTGGTTTTGAGCATTAATGCACCGTAACATGTCGTAAGGCCCAAACCGACGATAATTCGGCGAAGTGCACACGTTGCAAATGTAGGCTCCATGATAAACAAGATCGACGTACCAAACAATGCATAGAACGAAGTCAGAATTACGAAAGATATCTCTCTGCTTGATGCCTTGACGACCTGATTGTTGATATTCTTAATAAAAGAAGTAAATACGAAAGTTGTAAGAAATAAGCCGAGTGTCATGCCAGTAATAATGATGACAGGAAGCGTATTGGCGTAGCTTAAAGAAAGAATAGGGAGGTCCATGCATTGATCTCTTTGGTCGTTGGCTTTCTGGTGGTAGAGGCATTGAACGCAGCTGTTATTTGTGATAATACTGTTATTACTGCATGGCTTACACGAGAAGCAGCACTGAGGATGGAGCATATCTGCATCTTAATTTCGTTCAGTTTACATGGAGATGAACACCTAGAAACTGTTGTCATGTTCGAAGAACTCCATTGAATAGCCAGCCTGGTGTAAACCTTTATGAAGCCTGCATTTGTGCCATGCCTTCTTTGCCATTGCCCGACCTTCTGAAACTCTCTGCCGTCAAAATTCACAATATCAAATGGCCTAGGAACACTGCCATGTCTGTCAAAGTTTACTGAATGGGGAGCAATCCGCATGTCGTGCTTTGGTTCTGAAAGAATCGAAGAATATCAAATCGTGGGTCTTTCATTCCGAACTGCAATAGCAATGTTTTGCAAGCTGTAGTGGTGAGATTCTTTGGAAAGCAATGCTCTTCAAGGTACTTCCGCACACCGCAGGCAATGGTTTGAACTGCAGAAATGACAGCCTTTGTTGGAACAAAACGATATCTGTGACTTAAACCATGTTCCAGCTTCTCTTTTCCAGAACATAATCTCATTCCTTTCGAACGAGCACGTTAGCACTTAACGAGCAGTTAAGCACTTTTGACATCAACTCACTCAGCCAGAAACGGCGCGAATAATTATCAGCGTGCCTATCTACATATGCATCAAAATCTGGCATCGTCATATTCGAGTAACTGAGCATTAGGGCTCCTTTTGCCGCCTGCTCAATGCCACTGACAAACCCCTTATACGCCATGAACTTCGTACCTGATATCCAAGTCAACTGCAATCTAGCCCGATGATCAGCCTCAGCTGCATGCAACAGCAGCCTCGTGTCTTCTTCGCTTGACAGTATTACGACTACAGTGGCCTTTTCATTAGCAAGTAGTTTTGATATCGCATTCTCGTAGTGCTCTCTTGTCGGTTTTCTCGGAAGTGCCACTTGGGTTGCTATACATATACCTTTCAATTTAGAAACAAACAGCTCAGAGCTTTCTGCCCATTGTATCCGTACGAATTAACCACCGATACATAAGTCCAATTGAAATGACGTATGATATCAATAATAGCAAGGACTTCATCCTCCTCAGATGGTCCTGTCCGAAAAAATGTCCCATATCTATCCCTGTCATTAAACTCAATTGTTGTTGCTGCGTGGCTGATTGTAAGTTGGTTAAAAGCAGCTGCTTTAGGAGACGTGAAAACTGCAATGTCTGACTGCATAGGCCCAATTGACCCCATTATACGGTGATATGAAAGCTGATTCATAGCAGAAATGATCCCTTTTACCGTCCCACAATTGTCAAAAATCTTCGTGTAAAAAGGAATCCCTTGCAAAATACTCTTATTCTCGTTGATTGTGCGAACAGCATATTTTATAGCTTCTTTATAGTAAAATGAGTGTTCATTCAACTCGCCACATCCACCATATTTGGTTTTGTCATAGCGATGAATGTCCAGATATCCACCAATCCAAATGTCATAGTAACTATCACCTGCTCCTGCAGACTCGAGCATCAAATCTGATAAACAAAACAGTTTAGTTGTTGAAACGGTAGTTGCTTTGTATCGCGATAAAAGGAGATAGTACTATCTTCCTAAAAGAGCCTAAAGTTACGTCTCGGAATAAAAGGGAAATGGAAACTCCTTGCGAACGTATAAATGAATCTTACTATCGATTTTCTAAACTAATTTTATATTTTGAGTAATAAGAGCATCCAAATGCTTCCTTGTAGTAGCAAAGAGTCTCTTAAATCTTCAAGCAGGTTGCTGTCACGGTCATACCCATGGTTAAAATCCTGGCACCCAGTGGTAGGAAAGAAGAGTTCCCAGAGATACAATCATTAGGCTCATCTTTTCAGATTTTGGGATAAGAGTTTTATACAAGACAAGCCTGCAGCCTACAATTATTACCAAAAGTCAATTCGCAACATTGACGAACGACGTGGACCTTCAGCTTCGATTTTCATAAATGTTCATTTTTTATTTCTTTTCAAAAGTTTAATTTGAAGGAAGGAAACACAAAAGCATGTTTAACAAAGGGATTATAGCAAAATCTTTTTTATATCATTCTGTAAACTCACCGGCAAATTTCAGCAATGTAAACACCACAATATAAAAACGTGACCTCATCTTCTGTCAATCTGATCTGAAAGTTCAGAAAGTCAGTATGTATTCTTTAGAAGCTCGTCAAGTAGCAATTCTCGTCAAGGGGACATAAATATCGCGGTCTTCTGTAGAAAGTAAGAATGTAGAAGTATGTAGAAGGATTTTTTCTGCCAGCACATAATTTTCAATATTCTATTCCACTAGATTCAACAAATTTCATTTTAAGTGACAAGACACTAAGCCAAACATGATGAAGTCAATTAAGATATCCATAAAGAATAAAAAATGTATCGTTTTTTACGTGTGTTTTACTCTAGCCAAGCTAATTCTTCTGTGGCAACATTTAAATATGTGTGACTAATCCAATTTGGAATCTAGTATGAAATTACAGCAAATACCTTTTCAAGCTTGGCCTCCAGATTTTCATAAGCAGATATTAGTGAGATACGAAACTCACCTTTTGATAAAGAAGTTCACAAGCTCATCTCTTGGCAGCTCAAAGACGAAAGGCTGGTAGGAAATCTGAAGTCAGACAAGCTGCAGAGATATGACTTATAAATGTAGCATAAATTTATGAAATTTCCCAAGTAAACAAACTCTGGACTTACTTAACGGGCTCAAATTGCTTGACCAACTGAGCAAACACCACGAACATGCCTACTTGCGTAAAAATCAGTGAAATCATCGTTCTGTTCTTGTACATCCGATGAATATCTTCCAAGGCAAATAGGCAACCTTTTTTCAATTACAATCTAAACTGATGTAGGTATGGCTGGTTTTCTCCATGAAAACAATGAAATCCGCATGAAAACAAGAAAGTCAAACAATCATGGATATGGCTGATTTTCTCTCAGAATGCAAAAGAAATTTATGTTTTTTATTTACTTTGTGCTTGACCAAGACAAACAGACTTTGATTAGCACAAATTAATTTCTACCAGGTGCTGGTACTTTGTTATTTGGTCAAAAGAATGGATAACACACGGTCGTTTAATATTCAAACAAAATATTGCGAATAAGTAGTTTTCAGATACCTTTGTATGATTTGGTTGAATTCTACTTACTGGCCTTGAGAATGACGTGAATGGAAATCCGAAGGAATTTTACTTTCAAGATGATTTCTAAGCAAAATAATTAAAAAAAAGAGAATGATTATTTTGTGTTATACCTGCGTGGTAATCCTCAAATTCCATAGTATAGGTAAGCCTGTTATGCCGTAATGGCGAAAAAACTTGAGAGAATGTCTGATGAAAAACCAACACTAAATATACTCTTTTTCATTGCTAAATAACTCTCTTATACCTAGAAATTACATTTCCCTAACCTTGCTTGGTTTACAAAAGTTCATGTTGGTTGACAAGTCGATTGGTTGCCAAATGAAAAATTGTAAAGAATTTGCTTCGAGCAAAATAGAACACCGAGATAAATTCATTCATCAAGACATTTATCATGAATGAAAAAGAAAATTTCTGATTCTTTAGAAACACTTGCATGCTTTTTTCTTCCTTCTTAAGCAAATAAGAATTTTTTGTATTATTAACAAAGGGAAGCGGTAAAATTGCTTCCATATAATTTCTAGCCTAATGTTAATTTCTAGCCATCTTCTTCCGCTGTCTGCTTTTCTTCATGCTTGGACGAACAACCCTGATCCTGAGCCCTTCCTAATTACTTAAAGTGCCCATGAAATGACATTTCACACATTTGAAAGAAATTGAGACTTTTACATGTTCTTGCAATATAAAACGAAAATGAATTCGAAAATTTGCACAGGAAAGTTTGTTTTGGGGGCTTTAAAAACAATGAGTGAGAGAAATTAAGCATAAGAATCAGTGACGTCACAAAGTATGCAGTAGGTTCTATCTTCACAGTAATCACACTATACGACTTAGTCAGGAATGTTAGTCAAACAATGGTGCGAATTGTGATACCAGCATGAAATTTTGCAAAGAGGGGCAGCTTGATACGCTGAAAAAATAGTATATGAAACCCAACTGAAAATTGCCCCTTTTGGCTATTTTTAGACCGGGGTTCTTTTCCCAAAGCCCCTAATGGCGTTATTACAATATATCTTATAAAGGTAGGTACAATAGCACGAAACTCTACAACAGAGGGCAGTTTGATACCCTAACTGAAAATTGCCCCTTTTGGCTATTTTTAGACCGGGGTTCTTTTCCCAAAGCCCCTAATGGCGTTATTACAATATATCATATAAAGGTAGGTACAATAGCACGAAACTCTACAACAGAGGGCAGTTTGATACCCTAAATGAAAATTGTCCCCTTTTTCTATTTTATAGTTTGGGGTACTTTGCTCCAGAAACTTTAAAGATGGTGTTATCGCATTTCAGTGGTGATTTAGTACTACAACACGAAACTTTGCAATATAGGACAGTTTGATATGCTGAAAAAGATAGGACATAGACCCCGACTAAAAGTTGCCCTCTTGGGCAATTTGTAGAATAGGGTGCTTTATCGCATGACTCCACTAACGACGTTATTTTGATATCTCTGCCGAAAGTAGGTACAATAGCAGGAAACTTTGCAATAGGTGGCAATCTGATACACAGAAAATAATAGGATGTAGACCCCATCTGAAAAATGCCCCCTTGTTATAATTTTAGACTGGGGTACACTGCCCCAGACCTTAAAAGACGGTATTATCGTATTTCAGTCGTACTTTGGGCCTACAGTATGAAACTTTGCAAGAAAGGACATTCTGGTGCGCTAAAAAAGATTGGATATGGACCCTGATTTTAAATTGCTCCCTTTTGGCTATTTTAACTGTAGTTGCAATAGCAAACTCCATTCTACTTAGTGTACTAAGCGCCAACTGCTTCTGTGTTTGCAAACTTTGTGACGTCACAGATAACACGCGCTTTGTCAAAGTAAAAAACGTGAAATTGGAATATTCAAGCTAAATTTTTAGACGGTTCAGCAAGAAAAAAGTCACCTCAACATTTATCACTGAAATCAGCAAATTTTGCTTATAAAAGTGTGCCTTTTCTTTAAACTTGTCAAATTTCATTTTATATGCACTTTAAGTCTTCTCGCTTAGTCTAGCCCCCATTAATTCCAATTTCGTTTACACTAAATAGATGCGACCACTTGAACTTTTATTCAAACACCTTTTTCTCCCTAAAGCAACGAATTTGTTGCGATAAACTCTTGAGGGCAGTAAAGCCAATGTGATGCTAAGTTCCCCTTTGAAGAATTTATACAAGTTTTTGGGACAATTATCCTTTTAGCATGTACACTTCAAAGTTGACGAGAGATTTCGGTTAAAAAATTCCTTTTATTATTTTCACCGGTTCCTGTTGCAAAAAAGTACTTGGTCACTTTTATTTCTTCTAAATGAAATCCTGAACAAAAACAATGGCATAACAAAACAAGCCTTCATCTTCTATGTTAAAATTTTATTTGGCTTTGAAACAAAATTCGATAATTTTTAAATTCAACTTGATTGTATTGAGTTAAACTTGTTAAGAGATGCAAAGATCGTTTTCGGTGTTAAAGCTGATTTCTAAGTTTCGTTGACACTAAATAAATTATTTGGGTGTGCTTCCAATTAACGTTTTGCTAGAAAGTCTTGTGTTCGTGTTGGCTTGGGTTGTTTCGTTCTCAATCAGATAATATCTGGTTTGCTCAATAAAGAAGAAAGCAGCAGGTGTCAAGGTCAATACTTCAGAGAAGAAATCAATATCTGCCTGTGTGCATCGTTAGCAATCGTCTTAAGGGCAATCAGCTGTGAAAACTGTGCATCGAATCTGAGTGCCAAACGTTCATGGTAGTCTGTAACGAAAGATGAAGCTTCAAACCGTCTTTGTGATTCTCAACGTGTTTGTGTGTGGATACAGCATCAAAGAACGATGTAAGCACTAACAGTAGGGTCGTCGCTATGAAGAGCGTGGGGAGTGTGACACCTGAAAAAAATTCCATTGCAAAAACAACGAGCTTTTTGCCATCTAGGGGTGATTGGTCGGCAAATTTCCAAATTTGTCGGCAAATAACGGATGGCTCATCCACCTCCCTTGAGCACAAAAGCTAGCGACGGCCCTTGTTATAAGTAACATATTTCTTCCTTTTCCTGCCTATAAACATATGTTATTTTGATCAGCGAAACTAAAAGTATGTCTCTTTCTTCTGGCAAGAAAGCTGCGCTCTGAAACTGTTTTTAAAGATCAGGTGTGGCTTCGGTGTGGTTTTTATATCTGTTTTATTTATCAACTTATTTTGCAGGTCTCAGCTGTGAAACAGCTAATTTTTCTTGGCTCCACATTCAACAGCATCTAGAAAAATGCTTGATTTGCCTATTGTAGCCTCCCTATTTTGCGGTATCCAAACCTCTTTTTCTGGGTGTGTAGTTACATTGTATTTGAGTAACTTTATTGTCATTTTGCAGTTAACAACATTCATGAACTCATCTATGAAGAGTACGACGAGCCAGGATACTTTCTAACCGGGTACTTTTCGGTTCATTTTTTAAATTCATCCTCAGAAACCGGATGCGGAAAAATTGATCCTGCCAGAGGACTTGCATTGATGGAAGCAATGCGGTTCGCAATTGATTCGATAAACCGAAACGAATCGCTACTGTTCGGTGCCAAGATCGGCTACCAACTTGTTGACACTTGCAATAACCTAAACCGGATAAAGCGTGATATGTGGTTCCGATACTACCCTAGTTTTAACGACTTAGGAGTAGTCGGACCAGCATCCTCAGATGCAGCACTCTTGGCAGCTCCTGTTTTGACCGGCCTGGGTTTTCCCGTCATTAGCTATGCTGCTACAAGCGTAGATTTGGCAGACCAGGTTGTGTACGACAATTTTTATCGTACGATACCCCCGGATACCTATCAGTCAGCTGCTATTGGAGACTTGTTGCAACACTTTAATTGGACATATGTCTCTGCTGTGTACTCAAGGGGGAACTATGGTCAACGCGGTATGGAAATTTTGCTAGAAGAAATGGCTAAGCGAAGCATCTGCGTGAGAACGAGAAACTTACTGCCCCGAAAGGTGAGAGAGGATTATATTGATAGCGTCATTAAGAAGTTGTACGCAAGCCCAACCGCCAATGTAGTAGTACTTTTTACAACGATTGAAGACACTTCGGCGTTACTTCACGGCATCAGAAGAGCTGGAAGACGTGCTGGCAATATCACATTGGTTTCCAGTACAGCATGGACACCAGGTTTTAGCTTCTTTTCTGGCTTGGAGGAAACTGCCAAAGGGTCTTTAATACTGAGCTACAGCAACATGAGAGTAACGGATTTCGAAGACTATTTCGTGCGTTTAACACCGAGAACAGCGAATTATACATGGTTTCTAGAATTCTGGCGAGATGTGTTCAAATGTGATCCAGGGGCTAGGAATGTTGGGAAAATTTCCTATCCGAAGTGCACGGGCAAAGAATCGCTTAGAGGGGCAGGATTTCAACTTAATCACACCTTATCAAAGACTGTTATTACCGCAGTACATAACTACGCTTGTATTCTAAGACAAGTCATTTTTATGAAATACTGCAAGGGTAAAAGTGGCCTCGATCTTAAAGAATGCGTTAGAAGAAACAATTTCCCCTCCAATTACTATCCAAGATTCGATATATACAAAACTTTACTTAAAAAAAAGGTTGGCTGTCCGGAATTTCCTTTCTCCTCTGATTTTCTTGATGATAGATCTGTCGACAGTGAGTTGGAGATTCTCAACTTTGATGGAAGATCTTATCAAAGAGTAGGGACATGGAAGCGCGTTTATTTGAACAAAACAGAATTCAAAATCTCCAACCAGGCGATCAAGTGGAAGGACGAGGACACACACATAGTGCCAATATCTTCATGTACACTTCCTTGCAAAGCAGGTGAAGTTCGGATGAAGGACATATTTCGTCCTAATTGCTGCGTATCATGCAAGCCATGTCCTGCTTTGAATATTGTCGTCAACAACAGTTGCATTCCATGTCAATGGTCGCAGAACCCAAACTCAAACAAAGATGGCTGTGTTGAAATACCAATGACCCATTATGGACTAAACAGTAGCCATGGCACTGCAGTGCTTGTGTTATCCACTGTCGGTACACTTCTTGCTGCAGCATTGTTGTACTATTGTTTCATCCTCTACAAGCAACTTGGTTTCGCTTTCAATACCCTCTGCCTCGATACTTTTGCTCTGATTAGTTGTGTATTCAATTTCGTGTGCTCAGTTGTTGCACTCAGAAAACCCTCAATGTCGGCTTGTAATTTAGAATACCTGCTATTCTCCTTCGCAATATCATCAAGCCTATCGATTCTGCTCGTTGATGCTTACCACATCAATCAGCTATCAATATCAAGGCACAGAGGTCATCAAAGTTTCGTCATCAGATCCTTGAAATCGAAAGTCGTATCTTGTGCTAGTCTCATTGCTGCGAAATATCTTCTCAGCATCATATGGCTAATTGCAAGACCACTTGAGATTCAATTTCATTTCACAAGCTCGAGGTCAAACATTCTTGTCACGTGCAAGTCAGGCATCAAAAGCTTTATTTTTCAGATTGTTCATTGCCAGTTGTTCCTAATCCTTATAGCATATTATGCCAACAAAGCTCGCAGGTTCAGCGCAGTTCGCGTAAAAGCCATTGCGTTATGCAGTTTCAGCGGTGTCGCAAGTTGCCTGGTTGCGATTTTCATTCCTACACTCCTTTGGGTTAATACCTCTCATGCCATCACAGAATCGGCACTTTCGATGATCGCCGCCAATGCCACTGGTTGCATTATTCTAATAATCACTTTCAGCCATATGCTGGGCGGATACTTAGAGAGGAGGCAAGTGAAAGCGTTTGCAGGTAACGAAATACGTCAGCAAGAAGCGCTATAAAGGCCGATTTCCACTAGGCGAATTCTTTCACGCGAATCGAATAAATCAGCCTTTAGAGGGACAATCAGAAGATGTGTAAATATACAGGTAGAAAGGACACTTGATGCTGCACACGTGGTCAAGCATCCACAAACATCTTATACTCTTTCTGCTTTCATGGTAAGCGATCATAGATGCTAAAACAGCTTTTGAATGATGAGTACGTTTAGCTTTGAGAAGGGAAAATGCAACAAGGATATTCCTTGATAGAAGATTGTAAATCATGCAAGGCTAGAAGTCGAATGGTTGATTGGCTGTTCTTATTAACATTGATTGACAATTTGCAACAAACAGATGCCATTCATGTTGGTAGCTTAAACTCCATAACCAGACAAGTTAAAATTATAGAACTGACAGGCATAGATGTCAAGCAAACATGCCCGTAAGAAGGACAGGAACAGGCGTCCAAACACTTCGAGATCCTAATCACAAGAACTTTCAAACATTCGTCAGACCTATCATAGAACAGGACAAGTATGCCTAAAATATATATGATATATAAAATGTATGCTCGAAATATAAAAGAGTGTTGTTAAAGAATTCCTAATTAGATTATTCTAAAAAACTCAGATCGGCTGATATACTGCCCAATAATTACATTCATAATTATAAGTTTGTGACTTCTTTGATGCGCAGGTAATGTGTCTAGAAACAAAATTGTACATAAACAAAATGGTAGATGCAAGAATCAGTTCTGATTCGTGTTTCTAAACACTCCACTTCAAACACCTCGCCTCCATTTTTCCAAATTCTGTTAATGATATTTTAGCTATTTCTATTACACAAACTTACTGCATTTAGAAACAAAATGGTACATAGCCACTATTGTTTCCAAACACTTTCTTCAAACATTACATTTTCATTTTGACAAAGTCTGTTGGTGATATTTTCTCTATATCTAGCATACACACCTAGTGTGTATTGTAACAAAATTGTACATAAACAAAATGGTAGATACAAGTAACATTTATGTTTCCAAATTCTCAACAACAACTTTACGTCAAATGTTACAAGCGTCGGCTAATGAAATTTTTCCTACTCGTGCATACTTGAATTGACGAATGATTTCATATCGTGTGATCACGTAACATTGACCAAAAATTTTCTTTGCACGGGTACTACAAGTAAGCGATCAAACAGTTTCTCTTACGAAACAATTGTGTTCAGCTTTTTAATTGAAATGATTGAAATTTGATCACTCTATTGAATGATTCCAACAAATGTAGCCTATTGCATGTAGAAATCGGTCAATTTTGTGAATAAGAAGACTAAATAGTTGGAAAGATGGTATGGTAAACTCTTTTAAAACTACAGGTCTGGTAAACGATACTTTTAGACAGGGTTGCCAGGCGCATGCGTAAGTTTTAAGCCAAATCGTTGTCAGAAAAAAGCCAAAATAAGCCCAATTTGTTCTGCTCCAAAAAAGCCAATAAAAAGCCAAAAAAGCCAATTAAATATCTAAGAAGCCAAATTCATTTAGTTTGGTGGATTGCCTCGAGGACCGTATCGTGTAAATTCAATCAAAAAAATTTAGCCAGGGCGCAGACTGCATTATATTGTTTTAAAAATATTATTGTTACAAAAAAAGTTGATTGAACGACGCTTTTTAAATGATGTCTTGTTGCTATTAGAAATATTCCGGTGGAGGGGTGCAGGTTTCCTACCTCTTGAAAGCCGTTTCCCCAAGTTATGGAAATAGGAAAATTGAGAATATTGTTTTTGAGAATATTGAAAATTTTTTTCTTGGACATAAAAAAGCCAAAATTAAGCCAAAAAGCCAAACTATTTTTCCAAATCCAAACAGCATTTAAAAAAGCCAAAATTGACATATTTGGCTTAAAAAAAGCCAAGTTGGCAACCCTGCTTTTAGATGCTTACTGAAAGGAATACAAAATACTGAAATTGAGTAAGAGAAACTAGTAGAAGCAGTTAGTATAGGAGGTTATAAGATGTGTGATGTGATTATGATAAGTAGAAGGCAAAATTATGGAAACTAAAAAGAGAGTTTTCCAAGCATGGCGGAACCATCAATTTTCAGCTGTTTTGTTCCAATAATGCTAAGTTTTAATCTCTTTAATCACTAATGTTCAACATAAAAATGAAAACTTTTTAACTGCAAACACAGTTTCTTCACGATTTTCCAAAAGAAGAAATATCCTAAATTGTATATACTTCTTGAAATCAAAATATTACACAAACATCATATCAAAATTACTGGTTTTAAGGCCCCAGAAAGATAGAAACCTTTAAAGAAATACAATATGATTGATTATCAATAGCACTGAGTCACAATAAAGGAAAAAATACATTCAAACATTCTGGTCCGTTGCAGTTCTGCTGGTAGCGTCTAGACTGATTTTTTTAATACTGGCTTTCAAGAGTTCTATCGATGACCAGATTAGAAACTGCCGAGAAATCTATGATGACTGCGACGAAAGAAGATTCTTCTGTATAAGCCAATCTATTCATAAAAAATTGCTTTCCTGTCATGCAGAGGTGCAAATATTCCTGTTTAGGTAGAGGTTACCAGTATTCTTGTCTTTTTGGGGCTATTCTAAACTCGCTCGGTTAAATTACTCCTCCATTTTTGATTTCACCAGCCACACTAAAAGCCACACACATTAACATGACAATGGAACAAAGCGTTTGGCATTCAAATAAAAAAGTTCGAATGCGTGACAGGGGCAACCCCTGCCGGAGGCATCCCTTGCAGGGGGCATCCCTTGCAGGGGGCATCCCTTGCAGGGGGCATCCCTTGCAGGGGGCATCCCTTGCACGGGGCATCCTTGGCAAGGGCAACTCTTGCAGTTAGCAATGAACAGACATACGATTTGACTCGAAGTATCGCTGTTATTATTTAATAGTAAAGTGAAATGCGTATATATTGCAGCAACAGACATCATTAGTTTATGTACAAAACCTGAAAGAACAGTACAGTAACGTTGACAAGGTATCTAGTGAAACATTGAGCTTTAAAAACTAAGCAGCTACAACTTTGTTTCAGCTTCCATTAGGCCAATAGGTGTCACATTTGTCACTTCATCGTCACAATCCCCAATCGTCATTTCTCTCTTCTTCGTATTGGGTGCTCTTTTTTGTCTACGCTGAATTTGCATCACGTTTTCATTTATAATTTCCTGGGCAATGATCTCGGATAGGATATGTCGTGTGTTTAGTGTTCTATATCTTATCCATCCCTTTGGCCCATAGGGTGTCGTTTTACTGTGCTTGATAACAAGTTGAAAGCGTTCCCGCATTTGGCTTTCGAAAAGATCTTCAACTCTTTTCTTGTAACTTGTCACAAAATTCTCAACATCATCGCAAAGTTCGTTTGTTGCCTTGAAGTAACGTTCTGTGTGAAAAAGCAAGTAGAATTTAAGATGTCTTACAGCAAATGAACATGTTGATAGAATCAACTTCAATGTTTCGAAAGCAACTTTGCAGACCAAGAGACGTCGTATCAACTCCATTAATTCAGACAAGCGTCCAATCAATCAGGTCTTTTTAGACTAAAAACATCAAATTCAATCAATATAATTTTGAACCGACAATATGATAATAAGCATCGTTATATTTTAGGTTCACGAAAGAAACAGAATAGAATAGATACCTTTTTCATAATTTTCACATTTCAAAATATTAAGATTGTATATTCAAGTTGTTTTATTAAGATCAAGCCGCGTTGAAGCTGTACGGTTTCTGGCCCCCAAAGACATGACATTGTTGCTCTTTAGATACAACTTTCTTGTCTAGGCCTTGGCGTTTACAAGGCTACCCTCTCCAGTCCCTAACCAATACGATCGCTTGATGTTCGGTCCTAAGATCATTCAAATGACACAAAAATCTGTTATTGCAGTTGTTTGGTCATTGAAGGACATAAACTGTTGTGTTGATTGGTTTTAATTACAAGACTTATCTCACCTCGAATTACGTCTTCTTTCGTCTTTGGGTAGACTCTTTTCAGCCTTTTGATTCCGGATCGAAGGCAAAACTGCCAAAGTAGGCCAAATATGAATAAAACTCCAAAGATTATCAACGTGAACTTCAACGATAACTGAAACAAGGCTGATTTGGAGTCAAACAGTCGAGTAACACTGTGGCTTCGTGATGCTTGGCTCTTTATCTATAAGATGGATTTTGTTGTGCTTTCATTAAAAGGAACACAAGAAATCATGAACAATAACATCCTCGTACCTGATAACTTTATGAATTGCAACTCAGGAAGCAGGTAGTGTTGGTCTTTGATGACTAGTAAGTGCAAGTTTCTCGTGGTGTCCAGAAATGTTGAGTTCTTGGAAATGTTTCAGCCTAAAAGCCTATTGCAGATGAGCAAAGATTAACTTGGCTAGGCCCATTTGATATTCGTCCTGATCAAAAAGAGTTATGTCTTGAAGTTATATAGAAGCGTAGAAGTTGAATTTGGAAACTAACTGTTAACTATTGTCAAACTTATCTCTTTCGTCTCCCAACAAAAATATACAACACAGCTCTGTTTCGAAAAACTTTTCACACTGTTCCATTCTTCAAAAGTCTGTTTCTCATCTCTTGGCAATTTCTAACATATGAACGTAATTTATTTAGAAAAAATGTTAGATAAACAAAATAGTAGATTAACAAAATAGTAGATAAACAAAATGATAGATAAACAAAATGGTAGATAAACAAAATGGTAGATAAACAAAATGGTAAATAAACAAAATGGTAAATAAACAAAATGGTAGATAAACAAAATGGTAGATAAACAAAATAGTAGATTAACAAAATAGTAGATAAACAAAATTATAGATAAACAAAATGGTAGATAAACAAAATGGTAGATAAACAAAATGCTAGTTACAAGTTAAGATAATGTTTCAAAACGCCTACCTCAAGCTCCACGGTTCCATTCTTCAAGAGGTTGCTAATCATATCCTGATTATTCTTAACATACGTCCTTATATCTGCATGCAGTCCAGTCATTTCACCAGACAACAGCATACCAATTCCTTTGTTCGTTTCTATTTGTTTGATAACTCGTAGGCCATTTGCAGAAATAAAATCCAGCAACGTGGACGCTTCGTTGGCTTCTAGCAAAGCACCTTTCACCTGACCGTTAACAACTGCTTGCAATAATTCTTTTGCAGTGGTGAAACTTCTCCCTGTCACATAGATAACAAAATACAAGGTAAAGAATAACAAATTTGAAGTATCTTATAGAATTTAGCTTTGTAAGAATTTGAAATTTTCAGTAAAATTGGGATCACAAATAGCAATGACAAGGCTACATAAATATCTGTCTTTCATCCCTAGCAAACCAGTATAATAATGTGAAGGGAGCGTTGCCAGCCCAAAGGACAAAAATAGAGGTGAATAACCCCATTCTAACCCCAGTTGACCCCAACCCTGCCAATTCTACTGCCAGTTGAACCCATTTCTTCCAAGACAACCCCAGTCCAACCTAGTCCAGGCTGTGGTAACTCTTCTTACCATAAGCGTACGGGCCGGGGGGGGGGCTGGGGTTTTCGTTTTTCGAAAAACCATGTCAGTCGGGCAAATTTTCAAAAATTATCCGCAAATGATTGCTCAACTCTCAACTGACTATTTTTACTTTAGATATTTCGGTGAAAAAGAAATCGTAATGTAAATATTCCTATGTCAAGTTCCTTATCACCAACAGGCTCATAAATATATGCATGCCTCTGTACTCGGGCAAAAATCCTACCGCCCCCCCTGTGAAAATTCTGCCGTACGCTTATGCTTCTTTCAGAGTTGTCAATTTAGGAAATTTTTCCTTGACAGAAAGGCAATGGACGATTGACTCTTTCCTTTTAATTTATCTCGGTAGAATGTTTGACTGGAAGTGAATATAAGACAACTTTCTGCTTAAGAAAGACCGGACCACATACTGTCAGTCTTTTTTCTTAATTATTAATTCTCATTGATTCTCACCATTAACATCTGTTGTAGTTATACGTGACAATCTTCTGTAACCAAGCCAATACTCTGGTGAATTGTAGAGAGCAGCAACCTGGCAAATAGATTAAGTAAAGTTGCTAAGATATAAGCAATCTGTTGACATCAATAGTTGAGTTCGTGTGTTTGGCAAAGAGACTTGGAAAGGGTGAGCACTGGTGTCTTGCTTTGCCAATGTAATGTCTCAGAGAACTGGCTACATGTTACTGATCTCCTGAGAGCAAAAATCATGGTAAAGTCTACAAAAATTGCGTGATCAGCAGCACAGCACTGACAGGAAAGAGGCTGAAAAGACTTGGTGAGGTTGCAGTTATTGAAGAGGCGAATGGCTTTCGGTTTGACTTTGTCAAGGAGGCACAGGAAAATAAGGAGCACCACCCCATTGAGTGGTTTATCAAACATCTAGTAGAACAAAAGTTAAAATCCTCGCCACAGTCTTGGAAAATTAAAGTCAGTTTTCTGTGGCAAATTCAAACATCCCCTTCTCTCTAATATATATTCAGCTGCGTGACTTGAACGATTTTGTCAAACCATCCTCATTGTTCTAAGGGCCAAGTAGGCGGAAGTAATTTCTTGGAGACAAAATGAAAGATATAATAATGCAAGGAGAATTTTTTCCGTCAAAGTTAAATTTTGCGGGAATCATACGTTGAATGCCTACTCTTGGAATAGAATAGGATCCAAAAATGGTAGCGTGAAAATCGAAAACTTTTCATATAAAGAGCGGCAAACATCCTTTCCTTTAATTACTAGCTGCTTTGGTAAATGAAATTTCGCTAATACTTGGAGAAAAATTTCCGGTATCCTGTGATATCTGAGTCAGGTGGTTTTTTCCATTTGTTATATGTTATGCTTGATATATTGCTTCGCATATAAAAGCCTTTTTTAATATTTTGCAGCCTTAGGCGTATTAAGCTTAATTTCTTCTTAGTTTCAAATTCGGTTTTGAGGAAGGTAAGCAGAAATAAATAGTAAGCTTCAAGTTTTGCCTTTTTTCAAATCCAAACTATTAAAGCGACAAAGTGCAACCCTCTGTTCTACCTAGACTTAGTAACAAGTATTCTCATGTTGCACCACAAGGCCAAAAAAGCCGTCAACATAAAAACGTTCGCAAACCTTGGTTCCATACAACTTGACATCTTCATTCACAGATGCGACAATAATTGCAGTTGTTAGGGTGCTGACGAAAATTGAGGACAGAACGAGGCCAATGATTATCCACACAACTGCAACCACCCGTCCAGAGAAACTTTTCGGCGCTATGTCGCCGTAACTGCAACAATAGAAAGACTCCTCATAAGATGACCCTATGGAAGGTGTATAAATCCTCCACTAAAATATAAAATAGTGATAAAATGGGTTTTGATGACAGTCTTATAAGATTATACAAGATCGCCATGAATATGATCTGCTTGTAGCATTCTTTCCTTGTTCAGCATGAAGTCTTCAAAAGAGGCCTATTTTCTATATGACTTGGATTTGTCTGAGAGAGCCACGCAACAAAGATGCTCCCATCTTGTTTATCACTACCTCGTTTAACATTACGAACAAAATTTGTAATTGATATTGTACAACAAACAATTTCTATTGGCTAAGTTGAATTCAATTCAAAGAAAGAAATCACAAGTCACTTGGACTTCAAAACTTTCGCCTTATTCAATGCAAGAGGTGTAGACAATTCGTGAATTTTTCCACAAAATATACTTTTATGGAAATACTATATTTGTGCTAATTTTATTTTGTCTGGTCTTTCAAAATTCCACATACCCAACTGTTGTCATGGTAATAAACGCCCACCACGCTCCATTCAGGACTCCTCGAAAGAAATGGCCTCTTTGAAGCTCGTCTGGATTTTGTGCTTGATCCTAAAATGAATGATCGAAAATGTTAGTTGGGAAGTGATCAATCAGGCTTGATATAACTTTAAATGTAAATCCTCTAAACGAACTGTTTTTTTCTTTCTTTATTAAAAGTTGGTCCAATCTGTAGCTATATTTATTTAAGCTAAATAAAGCCAACTAATTTGAATTAACAACGCTAACTCATGTAAGCGTACATATTCTTTGCAAAAATCATAAGTATAATTGAACGATGACAATTCTGAGATTATTGCTTGAATATTTGTAAAGTTGGGGAGTACTTATTTCGTTTGGATCTGAGCTCAAAATCAAAGGAAGGAACTCAAATCGCTCAAAATATTTAAGAAGCTCTTTAGTATTGGCTCATCAGAATACATGTGCATTCTAGCACTGCTTTACCATATCTTCAGGATATTTTTCAAGGACTTCAACTAATGGGGATTCAAAAGGGCCCACAAGGACAAGCAAATGGGCCCACTGGGACAAAGTTCCAACCAGTCGGTACCTTAAAAGCGTCGAATATGGATACCGACACGAAAACTTCCTAAATAAAAAAACAACTTGAATAAAACGTCTAAAAATCAAGAACGTAGGAAGCATTATGAAAGTGGGGGACACCTGTTAAGGGGCACCCTAGCAAACATTCTATAAGATTTGAAAGCTTGTTTAAGTGGCACCTCAACAAATATTCAAAAAAGGTTTTAAGATACGAAACAGGTTTTAAAATGACAGAAAAGTAATAGACTACTATAGAGTATCGAAGTGATGACGTCATAAAAATATATTTTTAGAATTTCTGAATTTTGATCCCAGAACCTAAAAGAGCATCATGAAATACCTTTAAGTATGCAAAATCAGTTAATGGTATCACAAATTGGCTTAGATATGGCCACATAAGGACAGGCTCTTGCCTCATCAAACCTCTGTAATTTGGTCTTGGTTCATAACTTTATGAACCAGGCCAGAATAACAATGATCCGTTAGCAAACTTGAAATCTTTCATTGGCCATATCTCGCCCAGTTTGGAACATAACTAACTACTTTTGCACAATGGGAGGTATTTTATGCCATTCTTTCAGATTATGCGGCCAAATTTTAGAAATTCTAAAAATGGATTTTTGGTGACGTCACACTTCGGCACTCAAAATCTTTCAACGGCCGTGTGGTCCAAGGCGATGGGAAAGAGTATACTTTGCAGCGCGTTAATGATCAAGAAACATTGCGCATTAGCTAAACGTTGCCGATTGGATACAGAACAGTAGGTCTATTGTGTAGTTCAATCAATGGAAAATGTGAATGGCCAGCAAAATGCATCGCAATATAGTATCTTTAAGGCAATTAATAGATACAATTGTGGCTAATCTGTCAATCAACAATTGGCCAATCAAAATCGTGATATCACTGAGTCGCTCAAAAGTTGATTGGCTTAAGCCATTAAGGTACATGAGGTCTTGAGAACATCAAAAGATAGGCAAGTTTGTTAAGACTTACAGCGAACCATAGGATCATGCCAGTAGTGACCATGAACAAAGCAATGATCAACACAACAGGATATGAAGTGTAGAGGATCTGCATGATCTTCTTAGACTTTGCAGCATTGTTCTGATCGATTCCAATGAAAACAGATCCTGTGTCATCTATGACCTGGACGTACTGGTATTTCCCTTCAAGTGTGGTCACCACCTTGTTCCCAGAGACAGGAAGATGGAAATGCACCTCGTCATCAACCTAAAGTTAGAAAAGCTTGACATTTAAAAGCTGTGGCTTATTTAGCCGTGGCTGGTTTCTATCTAGAGACCTAGCACAATCGCTTTTATGACGATAAAGCATGGTTTCTAAGCCTCCTGAGTACAATCTACCCCTAAGTACTTATTGTGGTATGTGATGATTCAATGCAAGATTCTTCAAAGAAAAATGTAAGTCGAAATAAACCAATAAAATGTGGTCTCATGTAATTGAAGTTGTTTGACACTTGAATACAAATTTTGTCACTTCTTAGTCATCATCAAGCATTTTTTGTTCCACTAGATTTGTAAGATAGGGCTATTGGAAAAAGCGGGCTAGAAAGTTACAGAAACTGTCTCGCTAGCTGTACCCATATTTGTTTACAAGATAGCGAATATGCATATTATTCTAGAAATATTTTATGACAAGTACCATGCTAAAAGCAATGATTAAATAACAATAATTAACTCTATATCCAGGTGTGGATCAAAGACAACGTAATAGGAAGAAAGGTGTGTATGACTGGAAGAAAGAGGAAGAAAAAAAAGAAAGAGGAAGAAAGAGGGAGAAAGAGGAAGAAAGAGGAAGAAAGAGGAAGAAAGCGGAAGAAAGAGGAAGAAAGAGGAAGAAAGAGGAAGAAAGCGGAAGAAAAAGGAAGAAAGAGGGAGAAAGAGGAAGAAAGATGGCGAAAGATGGCGAAAGAGGAAGAAAGAGGAAGAAAGAGCAGATAAGAAGAAGAAAGAAGAAGAAAGAGAAGATAAGAAGAATAAAGAGGAAACAAGAGCAGATAAGAAGAAGAAAGTGGAAGAAAGAGAAGATAAGAAGAATAAGAGGAAACAAGAGCAGATAAGAAGAAGAAAGTGGAAGAAAGAGAAGATAAGAAGAAAAAAGAGGAAACAAGGGCAGATAAGAAGAAGAAAGAGGAAGAAAGAGAAGATAAGAAGAAAAAGAGGAAACAAGAGCAGATAAGTAGAAGAAAGAGGAAGAAAGAGGAAGAAAGAGGAGGAAAGAGGAAGAAAGAGGAAGAAAGAGGAAGAAAGAGGAAGAAAGAGGAAGAAAGAGGAAGAAAGAGGAAGAAAGAGGAAGAAAGAGGAAGAAAGAGGAAGAAAGATGACTAAAAGGAAGAAACAGTCAAACACGTCTTTCTTCCTCTTCCGATGTTTATACTTTGAGGAGTGACAGACGAAAAGTGCTTCAATAATGATTTTCATAATAACAACCATGGTGCTTTAAACCAACCTTTGACCGGAGGTCTCTCTCTGTCACACGGATTGGGCTTTTGCCAGTTCTACTTCTATCATAATAAACCTTTGTATAGCCATACGCTTTGCAATATCCACACACATTTTTGACAATTTTTGAAATCAATTCCGGGAATATTCCGGTCTGCAAATTATCACTTGTAGTGATGTAAGGTTTTCTGTCATACCAAGCAACATAGAGAATGCGGTTACAATGACAGGTTTCTAAGAAAAGAAAGAGGAAGTAAGATGCATTATGACTCTCATTTAAGATAGTCTACGCGTCTCTACCAAATTTGATATCAGCAACGCTCCATAGAACCCTGGGCTTAATCGCAAAACTAAACATCATCAAACAATTGCCATGTCTGCAATCTTGCTTTTTAATTTCACCCATCTATTAACTTTTCTGTCAAAAACTTAAACAAACGTATGACCTCCTTGTAAAAACTGTTTATACCTAGAGTCAAGGCTCGAACAAGGCACTAGCACTCATTCAATTTTTGTCTATGACTACAAGACACTTCACATAAGTTGCTTTGGACGAGGCATTCTTTTTCTGGGGATTCTCTAGGCGAAATGTTTGCCTGAAATTTAAGGTTTTACTTTTTTGATTGACATTTTAACTAGCACTAGAACAAGATGTCTTAAGAATAAAAATGACAGGTTAAGACTTTTTTTAGTCTTAGTCCACTACAGCCATGCTTGTATATCTAAAGCCAGTTCAATATTCTTAACGAATACAATATGATATTTTTAACGGATATCCTTTTATCCCAATAGTTAGGACCCACAAGCCTAGATCATTTTATCCAATGCACCATTGGAGAAGGCTTTGACTCACCGCCTTGGATAGGTGAACTAGCGATGCCTTCCCCAAATGACGTCACTCCAGCTAAATAAAATGATAGTGCCATGTTTATGCTCAGTCCCTTGACTTGATGGTGGGTTTCGTCGGGTTGCAGCAGTTCTTGTTGCCAAGCACCATTCAAAATGGCAGCAGATCCATTTTTGACGACTTTGTAGTAAATGATGACGCCAAAAGGCTTCCCATTCCAGTGTTCCCTTGGCAGTTGTGTCCAGTGAATGTCAATTTTATTCTCAGCTTCTGAGATTGAAACAGTAATGTTTTGCGGTGGCAATGTGGGAACTGTTTAGAGAAAAGCGCAAAGTTTTATCAGCTTGAATTTATCGTTGGTAATAGCATTAGAATCATGAATACATTGCCAACACTGTCTTCTATCTGCATTTGAAGGATAAATGAAATTAGTGAGTGTCACCAACTGAAAAATTTGGAAATTGATCTGATTGGAGGAGGTTTACCAAGCAATAAAAAAACAGCCAATGAAAAATTAGATTGTGGCCTTGACAAATCAGTTGTTTCCAATCGACAAGTGTCAGCAGACAAAAATCTTTCGAATTGTAACAATTGGCCATACCGCAAACGTAACCGTATCCGCGTCCATAGCTAAAAAATGGACGCAAGCAATAGCCATAATCGCACTTGTTGTCATAGCCACAATTTCAACTGTATCAATAATTTCGTCCTAAATATTGCATCCATAGCAAAATGTAAAATCAAAATATTGCTTAATAGACGTACAGGTGAAAGTTTGATATTAAAAATCAGCCCCCGTCAACAAACATGCGCAGAGGTTATTGAACTGAAATGCACACCCTCTCTCTCTAAAAAAACGGGGGTTACCTTATTGAAAATGAGAAACAAACAAAATTTCTTCTCGATGATATTCTAAACAGAACTGGTTTCCAAAAATCTGAACATGAAAGTTGTAAATAGTATAAATGAGACTGATTTTAAGAAAGACAACAAACCGCCATCATTTGTTTTAGCTTGGGTCCAGGCAGGGGGGCTACTTCCAGCGGCTGTCGATCCAACGAGCTCCAATTCGTATCTTGTATATGCTGCGAGGTTTTCTACTATATAAGTTCTCTGCGTGCTTGGTATAGTGATGTTACTCCATTCTGTTGTCACATTTGCATGAGATCTGCTGTATACTCTGTAGTTGATTTGGTATTGCAAAAGTTCTCCATGTAAGCTGTCACGAGGTATTTCCTTCCACTCACAGAATAAACATGCTTCGTTGGCTGGCTGACACGAGAAATTTGCTGGCGGACTCACTGGAACTGATGAAAAGTCCCTCTTGTTAGTTGTGAAATAATGCCTAGTATTCATAGTGAAACAAGTTGTTCGATTTTGAGCAAAACTTTATAAAGCTGAAATTTGGAAAGTTTGATTCCTCAGAAGGGGAGTTTGATTCCTCAGCCAGTGAAACTGGGGAGAAACGAACGAAGAGGTATTAGTGGAGTATATGTGATAGGATATCCGAAGGCTCCAGTCCCCGAGCTTTTTACCCCTATCGGTTAATTAGTCCTCTTATTTCACCCCATTCTCTAGAAGTTACTGAGTAAGGCTGACCATAGAGAGTCTATAAAGTATCTGCACTCTGCAGAATTAAAATGGAAACAAGCAGTTTCTAAGCTTAATTTGAAGGTACATAGAAAATGACTAAATGCTACCTCCTTGCTGTGTGAATGCATCAACATATTGACTTGGGATCCCGAGACCTGTGTTTGTCATTGCAGTGACTCTGAACGTATACAACACGTATGGGATAAGATATGTGACGTCGATACTAGAGCTGTTCGGTTGCGTAGCTATTCTATGCCAACCCTCCGTGTCACTGTCTGCTGTTTTCTTGTAGGTGATCAAGAAGCCTGTGAAATTGCTGCTGTATTGATGAAGTATTGATGCAAAAGAGCTCCAGTACAGGCGAATTGTCGTGGGGCTGATCGCTTCAGCCGTTAGTGAATCAGGAGGCGGAAGGACTAAAAAAGAAGCATTTTGATACAAACAAACTTAGAACACTATGTATTACCGTTATAGCAGTACTTGTGAGATCTTCGAGAGGGGAGGGGGTGAATTGACACTGCTACCCAATAGAATATTTGGAATGCATCCATCACTAATAAGGAATAAGCGGGGATGGTGCAAACAGGGGTTGATAGGAGCCAGCACTGAAGCATTAGCGGCATAGAAAACTAGGGCAACAACTTACGATTTCTACATTAATGTGTTTAGTTCTCTTTATCAAAGCATTGCATCCCATATACTTTCTACGGGTCACTGAATTATTAAAAGTGTTCTTGATTCATCTAGTCCCAGTCTTAAACACACGAAAACAGTGTTTACATGCTTTCCATACCATCATTCCATATCTTACTTTGTCTTTGCTTGATGGGGTATAAGAACTAACAGTAAAAAAAGACAGTAAAGCTTGTAAATTTCTGTAGGAACAAAAAGAAACATAGTGGCGCCCATGGCAAGTAACTTATAGATAAGGACATAGAAAGTGTACAAGAAATTCACCATCTGTGGAATTGAGTTCTGAGAACCCGACTGGCATCGATCCGAGCAGCTTCTTTTCATCCAAGTAGGTAGCCAAAATCACTAATTCAACCGTGCTCAATTCCTTGTAGTTGACTGTGAACCTCGAGATAACGCTACCCTCTCTAGTAAAAGATAAAACAGGACATCATAACGCAAGCTACCAATTGAGTTCTGTACGTTGAACCCCCGGGGGGCATTGAATTCTATCGGTCTTTCTATCCAGGGTTCGGGCTTTTAGCTTCAAAGAAGAAGGCCCAAAGAGTAAAATCAGCTTAGTTATAAATGAATAATATAACATAGTAATGAAACGTTTTGGAGGCTTGGAGTTATTTCTAGCCCTACTGTGTTGGAAACTCTGGTCTTCATTGCGTCCAGTTCTACCGTGTACTCTTTACCAGTTGGGTCTTGTTACTTACTTAGTTGTGATAAGTAAGAAAAGAAATGCCATTTTGTGCTATGATAGCAAACGCATTCACTTCAGATCCAACGCCAAAGCTTTGCAGTGCAACTACCTAAACAGATGCAAGATTCTAGTTGGTAAATACCAGACACGGCTAGCTTTAACTTAAATTATAGAATCTTCAAACAGTAGAATCAAGTAAAAAACTCCCTCCACTCCACTCATTTGCTTATCAACCATAGTCTTCCTGGTGGTTTGCCATGTGAAAATTACGATGATTATTTTTGTCAGGACAAACATGAAAACATGATCAAAAGGAGTAAGGGCGACAACTAAAGTTGTAGTGCATTGTACACACTTACTTGAAGCTAATAATGGCGAGGTTAAGCACGACGCTGGAGTTCTTGTACATCGATAGTAGCTGGCGATTAACGAAAAACACGCATCAATGTATTATTTGCGAAAGATTAGTCAGGGGCCTAAGAGGGGGGCAGGCGGGATGGAAGCCTCAGGGCCTTGGTAATTTTTCAGTTATATAAATTACAAAGATCATTAAGAATTTAGTTTAAGTGCTGTAAAAGACGGAAAATTGAATTAGGGGTGATAAAACTGCTCAAAAAAGAGGAAGTGAAATACATCATAACCAATATAGGTTTAGATTTTCAGAATATGCTGCAAATATCAGAAAATTTCGAACGATTTATTAGTTAATATTATTGTTTAGAAAAAGAAGGCCAAGGACATCAAATTTTTTCTCAGTGCATGAGCTGACCTCATAATTTCTATGGAGAGTCGGGGGCTTCAGCTAAGGGGGTCTCGAACATAAACACTAAGGCACTTCAAAACAGATATGTCCTTCTTCACTATTTGATGTTTATTTAGATATCTCATTAACGACATTGCTGTATTCCTTCCGCTTGCGATTAAGAAATGCATCATAGAAATGGAATTCATTTTTTAACCAAAACTTAATAACAACTTGCTTTATAGCTAAACGCAGCTGGTGGAGGGGTGGGTGTTGAACTCCATTGCTGACATAATCAGTAAAGCTGTCTCACTATCGCTTGATAAATAGATTTTAATTGATGATTTTAATTAATGAATATCTATACCTACATTGTTGCGAATCTTTCCTTTCAATTTTTTAAAGGCTATTGAGTTTATGTCAAGTAAATCATTGGTAAACGTTTCATACTTGAATCTGGTGCTAACGTTGATGATCGCCGCTAAAAGAAAGTGAGATTTATTGATGGATGAAATGTGTTGATAAAAAAGTAATCAGTAATAAAATTTACCTACAAAGACATAGATGAGGAAAAATTTGGGTGCTATTTCACCTACAGATAGACGATTTTTCCGACAAACTAAGGGTTTTATGTACCAACTGATCTACCAATAAACTGATGAAAATTGTGGACACGGTGGACGGGAAGGGGGGAGGGGGTAACCTAACTAACTACACTCCTGAAAGGAAATAGGATCTGCTGTCTATTGAAACCTCCTAAAAAGTGTGAAATGGTGAATCTTTGAAAAACTATAACGTGCTTTTCCATTTTCAAACTGTGCACAGGAAAATTGAATAACTTCACATGACAAATGAAAATTATAGGCTATTGTTACTTGAAGTGCCTGTATGCAGTACGCTTACATGCACAAGGATTTGCGTTGCACGGCATTATATCCTCTCCAGCTCCAAAGCACTTTCTGCCATTGTACTTCGGGTGCGGAGAGTCACAGAATCGAAATCGTCTTCTGTAGCCATCATTGCATGGTTTGTCACAATGCCCCCATGTTGTCCATTGGCCCCAGCCACCATCAACTGTCCAAAGATCAAAAGGAAATATAGCAAATCTTAGAAATTAACACACAAGCACATCTTTGGAATGCTATAGAGCTTCCAGTAATAGCTTTTAAGGAAACCTGGTAACTAGATAAGGCTCATCAAAAAAAGCCATTACAACGATATTCAAGGTCCCTAGCTGTCTATCGACGGCCCTTAGACTGGCACTGCTTTTGCCAAAACAGCCCATGGAAACATCACAATACTTTATGTGATTCCATACATGTTTTGATTCTGGGCCTTAGTGATGGCAAAAAATATGCAACAAAGCAATATGCTCCTTAACTTTCAAGCTGGCTGTTGGAATCTTGTTTCATTTCAAAAAGGCCCTCCGGTAGTCTTTTCTGCGCGGGGATCGGTGAGTAATTTATGGAATCATTATGACCTTGTTTTCATTCATCTTTTGCAAATGTTAACTCTAGACAAGGTATGAGATAGCTTAATTAGCCAATCAAGTTGCGTATATTACATTGTAAAGCTATTTTGTACGCCTTGCATATCAGCAATGCTTCGTTCAGTCATCATTTCAATTGCTTGAAATCCTGCTACTTCTACTTTTCCACACAAAGCGTAAATAATTTCGCACAAACCTTGACATATTTGGAGATTGCATTCTTCAGTCCGTTCGGAACTCCCATCGCAATCGAGGCCATTGTGCTGCGGAGGTGGATTGGTACAACGTCGAAACGAGGCCCTTGTTCCGCCATCGCAGGTTCGATCACAGCGAGACCACACCGACCAGCTGGTCCATCCACCATCGACTGGAAGATTCGAAAGCGGATATGAATTCAAAAAAGCTTATAAATTTCAGGGAGCCGTTTTGAGAGTGAAGTTCAAGGAGAGTGAAGTTTGTAGTACGTATATTTTCACGCATTGATTTAACATATTAGATATTTCGAAAAAGTTTCGTCTCACCTGGACAAGGACGGTTTTCACAAGCGGATGACTCTGGAATTGCGTTGTCGCAAACATCTCCACCGGTACATTCACTATACCGGATGCGGATACCTTTGCCACATGAAACCGAGCATTCTCCCCACTTGGCCCAGGCACCATGTCCACCATGTACAGAAACTGAAAAACATTCAAAATATCTTTCAGGAAATTTTTTGACCCACTTAAGCGAATAAGCATAATTATAAAATTGAAAACCAAAAATAGTTAAAAGTTCCATGTGTCTTATTTGTTTTGATTTTAAAACACTGCGTCATCAGAAAGATAAATCTTACTTGTTTATACCAGTAAAAATCTTCGAGAAAGAGCCTTAATCTGCCGAAGGGTTTGAAAATGTTTATGCTATGATATTTTAGTGTCTTATGACAAAAAGTGACTGGAAAAATTTATTTAAAAGTTTTATTGACATTATCTTACGGCAGAGGAAGGGTAGATTATATTTCATATGGACATCATAGAAATGTGGCTTAATCATTTATCACAAATTGATGATTATTGATTGGTTGATTGAGTTGATTGACTGACCGTGATACGACTGACCGAAGTGATTATTGATTGAGAGATGGATTGTTAAAGATCGAGAGATGGAGAGTACTGTCAATTTTTCACCAAACTCCACTTATGAAAAACGACTTTTATCTTTTTAAAATCCTTTATTCTGCTCTTTTTCATTGCTTCACCCTATTTTGTTCATTTGTCATTTCTATCGCGGAATTTGTTTGTATCAAAAACATACTGTGAAAAATGGTTGACATGTGACAAAGACTTTTTACTAAAACTAAAATTAATAGATTGCTAATTACCGGAAGACTTGCCTTCTGCTGATGCAAATTCCGAGCTCGTTGATTGGTTTATCTTGAGCACCGAACTACTCTTTGTTTCATTTGCATTTTCACTCCAAACACTTTGAAGAACTTTCTCAGAGAATTGAGATGATACGGTGTGTTGTGATAGGTCTGGGGAATATGATTCTGTCACGGATGTCGAAGGAAGATGTCCGGAATCTTCAAGTACCAAGCTCGGATTGACGCTTACTATGGTTGACGTTTCAAGGCTTTCCATCCCTTTACTGGTAGTGTGAGCCAGTAAGGCGATACCGGTATCAGAATAACCGGAATCAATCTCGGAATAAACTCCAGACGTCGTTAAGGCTGAAATCAACAGTGCTGTGCTGCTCAGTACCGGTGTCGCCTCAAGTCTGTTCGTTTGGACCGTGCTTGCATCAATATTCATGTGAAATGTAGTCTCTATTATTGATTCAAATTGCTGTACGGGTAATGAGATCTGAGAGCTTTCGATTGAAATAACCGAGCTTGGATCCTCCTCATGCACAGTTGCTGAGCTACATTGCATCCGGGAGGGACAAGGGCTTTGGGTTTTTCCTTTTAGTGTTTCTGTATTTGTAGGCTCTATGCTCGCTGTTATTAGAGATTTAAGGCTTGAAAAAATGTGCAATGTTGTGCTTGGTTCATAAGGCATCAACGATGATGTGTCGGTTCTTATGGGTGGTGATTTGCTCGACGATGCCTGGCTTTGTAATTCTGTTGAATGGAGCTGGGTCTCTGAAGTCTCAAATTTCATGCTTGATTTGTACTTCATTGAGCTGCTAACTGTAAAACCTTCCGTAGCATGAGCTGTGGAGCCAGATGTCACAGATGTCACTGAGCTGACACCCTGTTTGTTGGTAGATTGCTCAATGGTCAAGGGACTTGCAGAGATTGTGCTTGATACCATGTAACTGCTATCTGGGATTGACACTGAACAGTTCGGCAAGGAACAGCTGTTTGTCATCAGGTGAAATCCATTACATGCGACAGACGGCAGCTGATCTATTCCATTTTTGTCCAGGCAAGTCCTCGACCATGTCTGAGATCCTTCTCCGCAGGCCACGTTGCAAGGTTGAGCCAGGATCCAATCGCTCCAGGTTCCATCTGCAAATAGATGTGAAATGATTAATACGGTTCTTTACAATTGGCTCATACATTGATGACTAGTTACAAAAAGACCAGAGCCGGCTAGCAGAGCAACGTAATAGAGAAAAGACAGAAAAGTAAACTCAATAGCTTCATATGTGCTTCTGCAAAGGCATGCGATTCAGCCATATCACAGCTAGGCCCAACTTGTCGGCCATTACAATCAAATGCGATTGTCAACACTGTGTTGTCAAAACGTATATTCAAAGCTTTCCAAGCCGACAACATGGCCGCAACGTACAGGGGCGTAACTTGGCCAATAGTTTTGGGGGGTGAAAAGGGTCTCTGCCCTGCAAAACTGAGTGGTGCCCTGCAGACCTAGTAGCAACGGTTTGTCTATAGGTTACTAGTGAAAGCTTTACCAGTGTACACTGGTCTTTACCAAGGACAAACTTCTAAGCAATAAAAACAAACTTGAAACTTCATTGCCTATGGAATTTCTATTTCTCTACGTGAGCGTAAATTGTTTTTTATATTCACTCCATTTAATGTTTAGTTTGCAAAATTAAGTTAATAAACAGCTAATTGGGGGGGGGGTTACATGATGCAGACAGCGCAACGAAATTTAGCCCAGTGGGGCTAAGAGTCGAGTTTAGTGAGGTAGGAGGACCCACCATGGTTGGGTCCGACGTGAAGAAATTTTTTGAAATTATACCTTGTAAAAGGGCTAAAAAGCATCTTTCAGACAAAAATTTAGCAAAATACTATTGTGCTAAAAGAACTGATTGTTTATTGAAAATATTATTGTTTATTGGGAAAAATAAGGAGGGGGATGTCATGCTAAAACTCTAGTGTTAGACGTTGGGGAAGGAAAGAAACGGCAACCTTTCGTTTCAGATTGCACGTAGTTGTGAATGACAGAGGAAGATGTTGTTTTGATTGGGAGAATTTTTTTTCCTGAACAGAAATGTGCAGTTTCTTGTCTCGAGAAGGCCATGTTTATTCATCCAAAATTTAAACATTGCAATGATACAGAAAGTGATTTACTGAATTAATGCAAATAAAAGAAAAATAATAGAAATATACGTGAAAAAGTTAGCAATTAGATGAAACAAAATCGGTACCTTAACGAATAATTATGTTTTTTAGTTCATGCACTGATAAAAAGTAATAGAAAAAATGATAAAAAAATTCCTATCTTGACCAAAGTGAGGGACTTCAGCCCCTTATTCCTCCCCAGTGACGCCGTGCTTGTCATGAAAATAATTTACAACTTAAATTAATTTATTTGGACTGAGTCTTGCCCTCATAAACATATACATCAATCATTGCATCCATTGGCTATGACTTTCGGTAAGGAATGCTTTCGCTTTGCTAATAACGGAGCTCTTCCTGACATACCTTTTCCGTTCTCTAAAATGCAATGTCAGGAAGGGAGGTTTATAACAAATATAATATTTCCATTTCAAAATTCGTGAACGGCCCTTTACGAACTTCAGAGGTGGCATTTCTGCGTGGCAACAAAGCTTTTCTTGGCGCCCTGCGAAATCTTCGATTGCCCTGCGAAATCGACTATTTTTTGGATTGGGGGGGGGTGTCACACCCCCCCACACCGCCCCCGGTAGTTTCGCCCCTGGCAACGTAAGGTGGAACGATCGTAAGGTGGATTTCTAGTTATCTTCGATATTTTTGTAGATGGGAACAACTGTGTTTTTGAAAAGGACAGCAGTTTTAATGGATAGTGCAGCTCTGATCATCAATCTATATGTGTCCTCGTCGAATAGGTGCTCTATGATTTGATTATCCTCTTAACTATTGGTTACAGCAAAAAAATAATTCAAGCTCTCTATATTTACGTGGCACTGAGTTATCTCCAGGAGAGAGAGTCGTTGATAGTCTTATTTAAAATCCGCGGAACAACGTAACAGTAAGGAAATCATACAGTGATATTTTTAAATGCCCTGTGAAGAGCATATTATAAAGATCTTTTTTCTTAATAATTGGTTCTTCTTCTTCTAGAACTGCCAATCTTCAAGAAAAACTAGTAGATGGCTTTTGAAAAAGCAAACATTTGAGTATACTTAAGCTTTTCGTCTGACACTCTTTAGAAAGCGAACGTCAGAACATAGATCGAAAACTCTACGCTAGGAAATATATATACCCAGTTGTGGATCGAAATAGGCCAATCAGAAACACGAGCACATGACTGTAAAGGTTGACCAATCAGTGCCGCTTGCCTATTAGAATGTTACCAGTGGAGTCATAAGGTGAAAACGAACTCCTTTTGTCTACACAGTAGCGGTTTTTTCGTGCTTATGTAGATAGATTCCAAAACTGCTAGGTGGAACGATGATCGGGCTTTACCAATAATCCGAAACATGTCGCCATTATAGTTTTTTGCACAATCTCGGTTTTCCAGTAAATGCTGCCCGATAGCAGAATCACAGGTTTTAGTTGTAGTTTTAGATCTGCAAGGCCAAAGACTTTGGCGAGACCGAGATGGCTGTTCTCTTTGGGGATGAGTTATGTTTCTAATACGTCACAATGACGGAAAATGTGTCACAATTAGCAATGGCCTGTGTTATCTGACTTTCAAATCGCAAGGAACTGTTACCGATCAAGGGTAGTTTTTGATAAACCGGGCACTTTTGCGGATCAAATTTTACATCAGCTAAGCAATTAGCTATCTTCTACTTAATGTAAACTGAAATGACATACTCTGGATAGCCATTCTCCAGAAAATCTTTTTTAGTTGTTCACGTTCCGAGTCACGTTTTTGAACAAGCATTTTGATGAGGCTGCTTTTTCTTTGTTTTGGGCAAAACGAACTCCATCGAGTGTATAACCCCGAAAATGCGGGTTTACGGAATACACTGGTAAAAAATCCAGCGCCAGACTTTCAACCAAAACATCTAGGAAATGGCAAGGAGCTATTTTCTTCCTTTTCAATGTAAACTGTGGGGCTGGGTGAAGACTGCTAATGTCAAAGAACACATGAAAGAGATTGTGTTTCGATGTTTTGCATGAACTCAGCGAACGTAAAAGAATCCTTAATACAATTTTTGAATATTTTTGAAGAACAGTGTCCAAAACTTCAGAAAGCCATTTAGCCATTTCATGTTGTGCTGAGCCAATCGTAGACAATATTGGCCTATGTTGAACATTCGGCTAATGTATTTTAGGGAGGCCATACATTTGTAGACTTATGAATCCGGCTAATGAATCCTTATCCTATCGTAAACTTCGTTGGTAAAAAACTAGAAGCTTTTACAGGGAACTAGTTATAGATTACATTACATATTGCATTTTAATCAGAACCCTTAAATCTCACTTGGTATGCAATTTTCGATGCATGTGTCGAATTTCTTCGAATCTCCTGCACAGCTTTCGCCATAGAGTGGAACGGGATTGTTACATTTTCTACTTCGCTGCCTGAGCTGGTCCTTGCAAAGCACGTTTGGATTGCAGTTAGACCACTTTGACCATGACGACCAATTTCCATTGACGGTAACTTCAAAATAATGAAAGAGCGATTTCAAGATCACATGCGATTACAAGATCACATTCAATCACATGATCACACACGATCACATGATCACATGCAATCACATGATTATATGAATACATGGTTCCATTATTAAATTATCAATATGATCGCATTATTACATAATCACATGGCTACGTGATTGCTTATTGCATGGTTATGTCTTTGAATGTCTTTAATATCAAGTGGTTTTAATTCCCTAAATGCTGGGTGATGGCTTACATTCACTGACTGACGGCATAGTTCTATGACAAAACTATGCGACGTAAAACAAATGACAAGTTGAAAAGTTTCCAAAATACTAAGAATCCACCTCATGTCCATGATCAAATCCAATTGATGCTTTGGTATAGTCAAAAATTGCCTTATCTGCAGTTGTAACTAGTTTGTTGAACTAAGGCCATGTCATAAAGTTAAAGTATCTTACTTTCAGCTAGAATATGAGACTTCCTTACCACATTGTGAATGTTTTGTTTTAATAGCTCATACCATTGAAATTGTTTGTTTATTTTTCTACAGAAGTTTTTGAAAGACGTAGCAGGACTATTTGAGTCCAATTTTTAAATAAAATATCGTAGAGGCAAAAGGGGAACTGATAAATTAGAAGCGGAAAAGGGTTGGGAAGCAATTTATATGTTGGGAAGCAATTTATCAAGATAATTTAGATGTTAATGTTTACATCACAGAGACTCTAATGCCCAGATTGCGTATAATGGTTTATGTTAATGGAGAATTTAATTCAAAGCGTTGGAACCTATGCTGGTTGATAAATTAATTATTTTTGCGTGTAAATGCCATCAAAATAGCTAAAGACACCATGCTCAACGAAACATTTGCTAGCAAAGAAATATTAGTGTTTTACTGCTATATTACGAAGTTTTTTGTTTTTAACCAGATATAATCAACTTGTATCAGCAAAAATATCATAGAAAACTCTAAAATTCCATCGCCAAGTTACTGTGACCAGTTACATAAAGGCTGCTTTACAATCCTTATATAAACATCGTATATATAAACAAGCCTCTTATTTACATACTGCATGCGCCGTAGGCCAAACCATATCGATCCAAAGGGCACTGATATTGTTGAGACCCTGCACTTAAGAAACATTCAATGTAATTTGAAGAGTCTGCTAACTCCATTCCAAGCATGCAACAGACTTGTCCCCCGGTTTCATTTAATGCCAACGTGCAGTTGTCAAGTTCTATGACGCAAAATAATGACTTTGTTCACTCGATGGAGTAATTTGACGGGTAGTAATCTATCATATTTCAATTCCTTAAAAAGTACGTTAGATACTTTTAGAAAATAAATCCAAAAGCACCAAAGGTAAATGCAAATTTTATTACATTTCATACTACAGAAGTTTTATTATTATTATTATTGTTAAATTGCTAAAATAAGAAGGAATTGGAAGAAAATGTGACCTCTATTGACCTTTTATGATGTCATCTCTTATAACATATTATTTTGTCGTATTGTGTCTTACTGTGTTTCAACGTATCGAATCGTATTGTATCGTATCGAATCGGATCGTATCGAATCGTATTGTATCGTATCGAGCTCTATTGCATTGTATCGAATCGTATTGTACCGTATCCACCGTATCCACCGTATCCAATCGTATCGTATCACACCGTAAAGTATCATATTGTTTTGTTGTGTACCGTACTGTATCGTATCATATGGTATCGTATTGTATCGTACCGTTGTGTATTGTATTGAATCGTATCATCTGATATTGTACCGTCTCTTCTTATATCATATTGTGTCCTATCATGTGGTAGCGTATCGTTTCATTTTGTAAAAAATTCTTCCCTTCCATATCGCATCTTATCGTATCGTATCCAATTATATCATATCGCACAATACTTGGATGGGAAAATCTTACTGCTTGAAAAACCCATTTTATACTTTCTTACCGTAACAAGACTGTTTATTGCAAAACTGCTCGTCGTATATTTGCCCTGGCGGACAATGTGATGCTGGAACATGCAGACTGGCATTCGTTATTTTGCACTTTTTTGTTCGATTTTGCTTGCCTGTAAAGCATGGATGACTACAGCTTGTCCAAGATGACCAAGAAGTCCATGATGTGTTGAGAGGGACCAAATATTCTAAGAGAAAACATGAAAATTACGTCGATATTCTTTCGCTGGGTGTTTTGATGAAAATCCTTTGTTCTCTCTAAAGAAAAGGGCACTCAGAGTCAATTAAAGGGTGTAAATTTACCTTCGTTGTATCGGATGTGGAGCATAGGAGATTTGAGAGGATCCCTGTCGAAAGAGTATACATATCTGTATCCACTAGTGGCATTCCGGAGGCTAAAGACCATAGGACCACTACCATTCCAGGAGGGTGCACCCCTTAATTCTTGCACAATATTTGCTAGATTAGGTGTCCGTTGTGCTGGACCACGCTCTTCTGACTGCCAAGCTCCAGCGTGCCAAGCAACAGAAGACGAATAATTGCTGGCACTGAAGTTACAACTGATCAATTCTGTAGAAAATAACAAGACTCTTTCAGATGAATCAAATTGGAAATTTTACTTGGGCGTCGTACCGGGAAACGGGGAAAAACAAACTTTGGCTGGCCAAATACAAGATAAAAAGCGAGGTGCAAAGTGAAGTGAAGAGAAGTGTAGAAGAACTAAAAAGAGAAATATTGATATTGAGGCTGTTACAAACCATCAATGATAACTTCCTCAGCATCAACAACGGCCAACACGTCAACATGGTGCGATGACGAATACGAAGTCTTGCACGTGAACTGGATATACGCGTCGAGGACAACAGCTGATTTTGGAATAGTGACATTTTCAAAGTACAACATTATATTTTTCATATAAACACTAATTGACATGAAATCACTGAATGGTTGGCATGTGTAGCCATTCCGGACGTCTTGCCATGGCTCTTTGATGTATTTCTCGACAGTAACTAGAGTAGAAGAAAATTAGTGTACTCTTATGGTAAAGGCTTTGAACAGAGAGGTAAGTGGCGAGTGAAAACTTAATGGAACCTATTTGGAACAGTATATGAACGATTTTGAATTAGTATTTCACGGAAAGAGTTATGTACAGTTCTCAAGAGTTAAAAAATCTTTCAAGATTCAGCAGCTTGGTTGCAAAATAACAAAAGTCTAAGAATGGTTATTATCCCTTGATATGTTAAGATAACATCTTGTCGTAGCACCTTCTTTTGGGCAAAGGAAGTCGGCACTATAGCGTAAGATAGGGAAACTGACAGTGACAAGCTATTATATCAAATGTTAATAGCTTAAAGCAATTTGATTGCAATCTATCACACAACAATGCAAAACTAAAGATTTAATATTCTAGTTACATAGTTATATGATTCTAAACTGTGTTGTAAACTCGGTTGTTGCTTGCATAACCTTTCCGGGTTCAACTGTCTTTTTCGTTTGAAATTCCGTGTCCTGCAGTCAATTATGTCACGTGTTAAAAAAGCCAACAGGATCTTATCTTTATACGTCTTAACTCTTATGCCAGCTTCTCTTCACAAGGCATTGCTTTTACTCTTAAGAGTATCGAGTGATTTCTAGTTCATAGAGCCACAGGATATTCACTCCTTCTCTGAAAGATCTTGTCATAAAAATCAGACTGAATTTGTTTGTGGTATTCAATATTTTTATCAAAGGTATGTTTACAGAGTCCTGACCGTTGTCCGTCGTCCTGATCAGGGACCCAAAAATACTCTCCGCGGCTCTGGGTATATCTAAATATTGTGTTGATGAATTTTTGTAGAGTCAGCCTATGCCAGCAATGTTTAAAAATCTGAGTCAACAAATCCAGGGGCAAAGTGAAAAAGACCAAGAGTCCCGGTGCCATTCAGTAAAATGTATTGATAATTATTGTCTTTGGCAATTCTTAATACTTTTTAATGTATTGCTTGAGAACAGAGGACAGTAGCGGAGACCCAACAAAATAAATCGGAGACCCATCATTATCTTCAGTGGAACCAATGCAGACCGATGAATGTTTTCTAATCGATTTCAGTTTTTGTGCTAGAGACACCAACTGCTTCTAATTTTCTGATCAAAATACAAGAAGCAGCATGATCATCATAACCACACAAGACAAAGTATTGGGTGTATAAGAAAACAGCATTTGTGGAAATGTTAAACAGCAGCGTCCCTGATAACAGATCTATTGTGTACACCTTCTGTTATATTTTTCTATTTAATGCAATTACCATTTACTTAGGTTTTTATCAAAATAGGTTATTATTTATCAAAATCAGGGCTCCGCGTCTCAGACCATATGCATGAAATTTGTCTGTCTAACATTAAACAATATGTAACCCCTTCAAACAAACATCTCCATGTTTTGTGGATCAATGTTATTAAAAGACACATAAAAATGGGTTGATAGCTCTACCTGTCCGATTAGCCAAACACTGGTTTAGACAGCTTAAACTTTTTTGATTGCTGCCAGTGCATGTATTGCCGGTGGAATTCGTTGTCTCAACGCAAGATCGTGTTCTTGTTGATTCTCCAACAGGGCAGTTTCCATTACAAGTTGTCCAGGAAGACCAATCTGACCATTGGTAGCCTAAAAGATGATGAAGGTCTCATGTCATTGCTTCATCGGCCACTGATTGTTTGTTTAGATCAAACCTTGACAGTGACTATTACAGTATAAATAGGGCATGTAGCTGTAAAGGCTGCAATGAACGACCGTATTTCATCAAATTATTTAAAGCTGTAAAACAATGTAAGTCAAAATAACACCTTTCAATGATTGGTAGGAGGCTTTGGTGCCTTGACCACTCCCTTGCGCTTTTTGAGAAACAAGATCACTCTCAGTCAAATTTCACGCATGCATCCTTATCGGTCATTAACATGATATATAGAGAAATAAATATATGTATTGTAGAGATAGAAATTGATCAAAAATAATTATTGATAGATTTTTATTAACACAATATAAGTGTTTTTAGAAGAAATAAAAAAATGCAAGTGTGTTTTACAGAATGCGTTGGTCATTAACCTCACGGTTATCCTAGTTTGCTATGGCTCCCAAATCTCGACCGTTTTATCTACGCCTTGCACACACGTATCCTGCTCTGCAAGATGCCCATACGGATAAAGACTTAAAAACGTGCGAGAACCGAATATATTTGAATCGCTTTGGGTAAGGAACAGTTGAGGGAGCACAAACCTTTGCAAATTTGTTGATTACATGCTCTTGTGTCTATGTTCGAACCCGTGCAGTTGCTTCCCCCGTATTGAGGCGCAGGGCGGTGGCAATACCGGCGTCTTTGTTGTACTCCTCCGTTGCAACTAGCGTTGCATTGTGTCCATAGCGACCAGCTTGTCCAGTTGCCGTCTTTAGTTCCTATACTCAACGAGAGAAGGAAAATTACTTCCTTTTGATAAAACACTGAATTACTTTCTCATGGTGAAATCTTTTGAAATCAAATATATGTTTGATTTTATTGCTATGCATACTTTACGTTTAGAGACGAAATCAACGCAATTACCTCAGAATGACCCTCAAGCATGCGTTCAAAAAAATTAACTATTTGCAACGCTATTCATAAAAATCAGCACGCGAAAGACATGCAAAGTATTATAAAGAGATTATGTAGCAAATACCAACTAAATAAAAACCCCAATTTTTCTCAAGTCTTAATTTCTCAAAATATCCTTAGATAATTAAACATTCGACTCCCATTTCCAATACAACTTCTTCCACTATACTTTAATTAATTTATACTAAATATTAATGTTAATTTATGCTAAATATCAATATTAATTTATGCTAAATGTTAATATTAATTTATGCTAAATATCAATATTAATTTATGCTAAATGTCAATATTAATTTATGCTAAATGTCAATATTAATCTATGCTAAAAATTTATGTCAATTTATGTTAAATTTTAATATGAATTATTGCGATATGTGTTGTCATTCGTACAACAAGAATGATATTTGGTATGCCACAAGTAACCATAGGTAATCGTAAATATCTCAGATAGCTAACCTCATTCTTCAGGAAACTTGGCAAAAATCTCAAACACTGATTTACAATCATTTCCAGCATGTATCCCCCTTGCTCTAAAATACTTTCGAATACCTCTCTTATATTATCAATAATTAAAGATTCTCATACACAATTCTAAAAGTAAATATAGAATCATTTTACCTAAATGAAAAAACTCTCCATTGACGCCTATTCCGTATACTATGTCGCGGCCTACTGCAACATCTCGGAGAGAAACTCCCGGAATGGGAGCCCACATTGTACCATTGACTGTGTCAGTATCGACCCCTAGTCGAATGAATGCATCGTTCGTTTTCGCTTCGACTGCCCAGGTATCTCCATTCTTGCTAGTATCAATTGTTTTGAAAGTAATACCTTCGTCAATAAGTCGCAGGTGAGAATCGCTCAAGTTTTCTGAACAAGGATTTATTGGTTTCAGGGAAATAAAGGCTGAAGTTCCATTGTTGTTAATGCCCCAGCAGTGGGCCTCTCCGCATGAAACGAACGCAAAGTGCCCGAAGCTTGTTGCGTTTTGATCCTCGATCCTCAGATAGGGCACTTCACTGACGAACGTATCGCAGTATAAATGTGTGTCTGATGGGTTATCTTCTATCATAAAAAGGATATTGCTCGCTCCTGTGCCTTTAAAGTAATCATAAAAATTAACATAAACATCGTCGTTTTCATCGGCACTGTAAACGTAAGGAAATGAGAAGAAAAGACTGCAAAAACGAACAAAGAAGAACAATAAGTAGGAAAAGGAAAAGAAGAGGAAGTAGATGAAGAGAGTTTAAAGGAGGAGGAGGATGAACAAGAAATGGAAGAAGAAAGAAAAGAACAAAGAAAAAAGAAAAGAGCAAATAAAAAAGAAAGAGAAGAGAAAGAGGGAAGAAGCAAAAAAAGAGAAGAAGAAGAAGAGTATGAAGAGGAAGAAAGACAAGTAAAAAGAGATGTCAAGAAGAAGGACAAGAAAATGGATGAAGAAAAGTGGAATAAGAAAGTAAAGAAGAGGACGAAAAAGAATGCAAAGGAAGGAATAAGGACAAGAAGAAGGGGAAGATGAAGAAGAAGAAGAAAAAGAAGATCGAGACGAAGATGAAAAATAAGAGGAAAGAGAAGTTAAAGAGAATTCAAGAAAAGAACAAGAAGAAATGGAAGACAAAAGGAGAAAATTGAAAAAGAGGAGGAAAAAGGAGAATAGAAGAAAAAGAAGAAGAAAGAGAAAAAGAAATATTGAGAGAAGTCAAAAGGAATTGAAGAAGATGAAGGGGAAGATGAAGAAGATTAAGAAGACAAAGTTGAGAAGGACAAAGGAAGAAAATCAGAAAAGAAGTCAAGAAAAAGAACAAAAAGAAATGAACGAAAAAAATGAAAAAAGAAGAAAATTAAGAAGAAGAGGAAAAAGGTTAAAAAGGAGAAGAAGGAGAAGGAGAAGGAGAAGAAGGAGAAGGAGAAGGAGAAGAAGGAGATGAAGAAGAAGAGAAAGAGAAAGGAGAAGAAAGAAAAGTAAAGGGAGAAGTTAAAAACAAATGGAAGCAGAAGTAGAAGAAGAAGAAGAAGAAGAAGAAGGAGAAGAAGAAGAAGGAGAAGCAAGGAAGAAACTGAATTACTTAACTTACCCAGTGAAAAACAAGAAAGCTTCTCAGTTCCATACTTGTTAATAGAATTCAAGCCTAGACCAATCTGATGTGGATAGGCATTTATTCCCTTTCTAAGTGCATAAACAGTCGATTCACCGACAGCAATATTCTTGAGCTCATGAGTTACTAGCCCAGAAGGGGCTGTCCAAATTTTGCTAATGGCATCGTAAACAACAAGATTCCCAAAGCTAGTTGGCGTTGCATTAACAATTGAACTTTGAATCATCTGGCCTGTTTCAACTATTCCTAGCAGCTTTCCGTCGTCGTACGTGTCAATCTCAAACATTGTCGATGGTGTCTGCGCAGAAGATTGCTCAAAACCTGCAGATAAAATATAGTTATGAAGATTGCTGAATGATTAACTGATTACTGATAGCGATTAGATAAAGTGATTAAATGATTACTGATAGCGATTGAAAAGATTCATAGCAAGCGACATCATTGATCACTTCAAGGTCTTTCAGAACCGGGCGATCAGAAATGTTTGAAAATGATTTCCAGGGCGCTTGGTCTGCACTCTCCTTCTGTGATTGTAAAATGAATATAGATGTTGCTATCAAAAATAGCACATTTTAACTAACATGATTTATAAATGTAGCTTGGTTGGAGAGATAGTTCAAAAAAACTTTTTTCAGCTTCGACGGACCTCTGTTGAGAGACAAAAATGATGAAACGTGGTCTTAACTGTCAATAAACCTACTTAAAACAGCTTTCCACAGCTAATTTCAGACCAAGTAAATTCAACAATGGTTTTGTTTACCTTGATACTTAGCAACTACTCCTCCGTTCAGTAAAACGTATATTCCTCCGGGACCGATCGTGACCTTCGATGCCCGAAAAGGCACATACAAAGTGAACACCATCCATCGAGTGCCTATGGGAGTTTCTAACGTCACACCAAGCCTCCTCCACGCTGTTGCGCCGTCAGCAGCTATGAGCCAAACCTCGTTCTGATAAGCAGAGATTGATGAAAAGCTGTAGCCAGTGATATTGAAGTTAGCCAGCAGCGACATCTTTCCTAGTGGGCTGTGCCATTGAAAATACTGAATTGTACTGTTTCCAACCAATAGCCAGCAAGAGTAATTTGAAAACGTGCAGCTAATGTCCTTGGCATTAGCCGTAAAAACACGAACGTATACTTGAAGGGTGATCGTCTGTGTCTCTGATAACAACACCTCAAGAAAGGGCACTGACCCTTCATTTAGTTTTGCTATGATGACAGAAACACTGCTGGACGTGTTTCCTATAAAATACGGAACATTTGGAGAATCATGTAGGCAGTATATTTTGCCTGATTCTGTTACAAATATTGTTACGTTGAAATCTTCATTCCACGTTTTTATAGATTCATTAGGCCCGACGACTGAGTAGTTTGTTTGGAACCAAACACCAGATGCAAATGTGAAGTGGTTGCCGTTAATAGAAATTGCTGTGAGATTTGTACTTGCTGGAGAAGCTTGAATATGTTTGAATGCTGTCTCGCTCTCCAAGATTTCCCAAGCGTACAGATTACCTATGAGGGTACAATCGAGAAGTGAAAGGTTTTGCCTGTCAAAACATGCAGACAAGAGCTCCAACTTCTAACAAGTCAGTCTTCTTTAGTAATCACTCCCCTCCCTGATTCCCTGAACAACACGCGCATAGAACAACCGCTTCTCGCAAAGACCATTTAAGTTAACGTCAAAAGCACAGGTTGTATTTAGGAAAAACTTGAGATTCAATTGTCTTAGGTATGCTAGACGACTTCATATATCGACAGCAAAGGATTAAAACCGTAGTTTTACTTTTTAGAAAGTAGATTGTGTCTATAAATCGAATTTGTATTTGTATTTGTATTTGTTGCTACCTAGCATGCGAAGGTAGTTTTTAGGACACTGAGAAGCTATGCTTATCGAGCAGTGTCCTGGTCCTTCCTCTCAATGTGACCACACCTCGTGATTCCTACGCCTGGAATTACAGAGAGCTGCGACTCTCCCCACTTTGGGTGAAAGCTTGGTCATGCCAGGGACTCGAACCACGGACTCTTGGGTCTGTAGTCAACGCCTCTAACAACTGAGCCATTTTCGCACAATTAGTAAGTAATCAAATTAATTTTTGTCTTCTCACCTCTCTCAAAGGCTGCACCCCTTCTCTTATCAGGAATACCCAGCCAATTTTCTAGATATTTTCTTTATTTCTTCATTATCAGCCAAAGTTAAAGCCGTTGAGTAGTGATAAATTCCCATTTCCCAAAAAACACTAATGGAAGGTTTGTGAAAAGTATGAAATCTTCCACTGTTGAAGATTGAAATACCCCTAGCTGATTCCAAGCCACTCCCTCCGCCAAATGAATTTACCAGAAAACCCCAACCACTCATAGTAAGCACCCATAAGAAAAGTAGAAACAATATTCAGCTAATTTATGTATAAAAATGCGCATAATTTTTTCTGTTTTACGTTTCAGAATATCCGCGTGGTGATCTTCACTTTAATTGAAATCACGTCACTACTTAAAAATTGCTCATACTTACGTGAGAACTGGTTGTCTGGCACAATTAGGTTTTGTTCAGCAGCGTAACGGGAAGATTGAAAGACCTATTAATGAAGACAAGTTTTTAAAATTCAAAGATTTCATTCGCAAGACGATTACAACATTAAAAGCTCCATAAAAACGGATGGTGAAGCTAAACAAACTTTTGCAAGAAATTGAGATGGGAGAAAACAATATAAAAATTAACAAATGTAGTATTTTACAAGGCTTAAAAGATATGGGACATATATTAACAATCTTACGATTTATAGGGGCATTCATACGATTTATAAACTTTAAAATGAGGAAATAGGATTGGATCCTAATAAACATTCTCTAAAAGAAATAGCTACAGCTACAATCATGGACAGACTATGTTGCGATTTCACTGCCATCTCCTCCAAGGTTAATCTTTATTTTATTTGCTATTTAGTTCTCTACCCTAGAACTTTAAAAGATAACGGGAAGAGAAGACAATGTTGTAAGAATAACGTCATATTCTGGGCGTATTCACGTGATCTCTTATTGATATTATACAAGCAGGCTTTATTCAAAGACTTCAATCGGTATTAAGGAAGAATAGAATCAGAGAGAGACGATCTCATACTCTCATACGTTCGGTCAATGTATTATTGTAAACAGTACTCATGCTTTATTATATTCTTACGCTGCAACTCAAATGTTATCCCTGTTAACACTTCTGATCCACAGACCAAAGTTGAAACAACTCTCGCATGCTACTCGGCTCCATATCTTTTTTCTAGAGCTGTTCTCTCCCATTACAAAACGTTATCATAATCAAGTAAATTTATCAACATATTTATACATCTACGCAGTTCAAAACACACAAAGTTTAATTTTCTAAATAATCTAATTTTCAAAAGTCGAAAAAGTATCTGATTTGATCTAAATTGTCCCTCTCAACATCCATCTTGTCGCTAGAAGTTTGAATAACATCCACTACACAGTCTAGTTAAGACATGATCGGTATCATTTCAAAATTATAGGACAGTATAAAATATGTCACTCGTTATTCTATAGTTAATGAAAAAGAGATCTAACTGAAGCATTCTCGTGCTTAATGTAAAAAATAGTATTGTGAAAGTAGTTAAAAGCAGAAAAATAATTTTTAGAAAGGCTCACCAACACGAGTAGAGTAGCCAGATGGTAAAGCATTATCGAACTGATTCGAGAACTTTCTTCAACAAGCCTGTTTCAAATTGGAAAAAAGAGTTTATGTGACGTGGGCGAGGGTGTGAAAAAGTTTTAAATCGCCTTAGCAATTGAGATATAGATTCTAGATTACTGAAGTAAGAAAGGAAATTGGTCTCTTTCTCTACAATTTATCGGAGACCCTTTCCATGGTGTCAGATACATTTGGTTGGAGAAATGAACTTTGTCTTATAAGAAACAATATCAATTACTTTCCGAAACAATTAGTTAAAGAAATAAATTTAAACAGTCTTATTAATAGCAAATTACGATGAATTTTGATATGCGTCTTTGAATTCGTTAACACGATAACCTAGAAGGATTAAAATTATGCAAGATCACTATCTCAACATAAATCAAGTCCCAATGGTGCATCAACGGTGCAAACGCAAAAAAAGTAAAATATACTAGCACGTGGCCTGCGTAATCTTGCAACCATTCTAGCATACCCGTCCACCATTATCATTCATCTATGTTACAATATACAATCAAACTAAGATGATCAGGCGCTCCCAAGAAACGCTAAAGTGAAGTTATGTAAAATTGGGAACGTTATTAGAAATAAACTGAAACAAAGTACATACGTACCTTTCAACAAAGTCAACCTTGCTTTATGATATCATCGGCGTTAACTTGAAATGTAAACCAAAATCATCCTTAGTTTCACACATTAACACACAAAGCTACGTTGACGACTTCACAACTGCCACAGCCGCCAAAAACAGCCACCAAAGAGGCGACAGATTGTCGCTTTTGAAAACACTTTACTTGATCTCGCCTTGACATCGATTAATCAATCTGTCTTTTAAAGTGTGAAGATATCGAGTTGATGCCAGGTGCAATTGAAGGCATGAAGTCACAACAAATTGAAATGGATCATTAATTATATTTACATGCCCAAAGAGATGTGAATTGGTCAAAGTGAAATCATAAAACAATATTAGATCTTGCATTTCTTATTAAATATTTATGTCCAATGAGAAATAAAAACAAAGGAGGCAATATTATAAACACTTGCTGAAATTCAACGACAAAACAATTGCAATTGTTGCTAAAGATTTCCTTTTGCATTTAGCAGTTTGAAAAAACGCGTTTTGCAGATAAAGAGAAATCGAGAAAGCCCCTATCAGCCACAAGGAATAAAAGGTCTATATCATGTTTTCGTTGATCATATCTGGCATTCTCTCTACAGCACTGCTGGTGCCGCTCAATCTTTGAGAAAATCGCGTAAATGGTTAATGTTATGAAACCATTTTGAAGAACTTGCAAATATGTTCGTGCCTCAGGATAACGAATCAACTAAAACCATAACTTGGCGTCAATGCTTAACAAGTGAATAGTTGCGGAAATAAACTTTTGCGTTTTCCAAAAAGTTACGTAATACACAAGGATAATTCGTAGAATGGGTTTCTTGTCGAATTTTGTAATATCTTCGAATCTTCAAAACCTATAATTGTTGTAGCATAATTGGAAATAGATATCAAAAAAGGCCAAATCATCGTCTGGACGCATTCCTCCCGCTAAGAAACGTAAAGATAACAGCGCCTCCTTCTACAGTCCGTAGTTATTACCCAACACAGGGACATTTGAACAATGCTACACAGTGTACGGATAAGCAAGAAAAATGATATCTCTAATTATTATAGCAATAAAAGGGAATGAAAAGCCCCCTAATGATATGAAAATGATTAATTGAATAAAGAAAGTAGAGAATAATTTACTTGTTTAAATTTTTCTTGTGCATCAAATTATCTCGCAGAAAACATACAGGTCAATTTTGAAGTTAAATTTTGGGGAAAATGAAAATTTGCAATTTTAATCATCAGACATTTGCAGGAATAAAATTTCGCAAATTTTGCATTTTAAGAAATTTCGAGGAAATAAACTTTCGCGAATTTTACATTTTAGTAAATTTCGCGAAAATTTGGAAACGCGAAAAACGCAGTCTCTTCCGCAAAAGATTTTCCTTAAAGTAGGTCGTCACTGGTGTGAAATATGCTGATCTATGGCGTTGAAACTCTTGTCAATAGAAATGTTGACTCTATTGCTAAATATGATGGCTTTTGGAAATTTAGTAGCAAATCTGAAGACTGGCATATGTAAGTAAGTAAAGATGGGACAGCATATGCAGGCAGCCTATTTTAATCAGGAGGGGCAAAGAGGATATGTAAAGGAATATGATGGGCAGAAGGGGTAAGCAAATGCAAAGGATAGAAAGAAAGGGGTAAGCAATGGAGCAAAGTTGGGAAGATAGGCAAAGAAAGAAAGAGTTGGATAAAAAGGAATAGGCAAATTAACAAGTGGTACAATGGGTAGGCAAATGAAAAAGGTTGCTCAGAAGAGGTAGGTACTCGTGGTAAATCAATGACTTGAGCTGTTTTCTTACTTAAGCTGGACAGGCCAGGAGTGCAGCGATGCCTAAAGCTTTGAGGGTCGACCATAACTTTAGGGAATCAGACATACAATATTAGTCTAGATCACATGAAGACATAATAAATTAGCACTTAAGATTCAGAAATCTATAGGAAAATGTGAACAAAAAACTGTTATGAATGATATGAAAAATAGTCCTTTGAAATATTTTGTCTAATGGGGTCCACTTTAAAAGTAACAACATTAAGTCCAGACTTAGATTGATAAATGTGTTTTCAAGCAAACACTTTATACCAGATGTTGCCAGGTGTGACTTGGAACTACGTAAAGGCCGCAATTTTGCTGTCAAACACCAGACGCAAATGCAAGAATCTTTTACGTCAAAAGGAAATTATTGAATGCAAGAAAACAGATAATTCGCACATTGAGAGTCACATAAATTGGACAAACGTAACTCAGATCAACAAATCCGGCCAAAAGTTGTTGAGACTTTTCAAGAAAATTTGATGACTTTTCTTTCCACTCAAAATTAACTCTCCACCTCCCCCATTCAATGTTCGATGCATTCAAAGTAGTTGGTGATAAATATTTTCAGGAACACAGTACAATAAAAGTCCAAATTTAACTGATAGGCACAAACGTTTTGATAAACAAATCATTTATTTAAACGTTGACTTCAAATTACAAAATTCTTTCTACAGAATGTAGATAACAAATTATAAATATATGATAACCATTTAGTGATTAATTCTACAAAATGAGAAATTTGTCAATATTTTGGCTAGTAATCTAAGGCCCCGACGTGAATTTTCCATCACAAAAAGCTTCTGTAATATGATGTTGCATATCGTCATCCCCTTATCAGATATTCCTATTATACACGAAGACATATCAATTCTGTTGCAAGCACAGTGATGACTTCTGGGAAAATGGGACCTGAAAATATTGCTATCTTTATCTTTATACAGTCTCTTGAGCATTCTGGTGCTCCTCTTGAGGGTTGATCACTCTATAAATTAAATTCAGCCAAAATTCCCAAGGTACTTGAATTGAAGAACAAGAAATTTTAAGTTTATAAATTAACTGGAAAAAATTTCAACGAGTATTCACTTTAATACACTGAAACGCATACCCTGAATTTTGGTGAATTATATGCATAACGACAGTCATAAAAGGTTCATCGCAAGAGATACTGTTTTAAATTGGTTTCTGCTTTAAATATCGGCGAAGATTTTCATTGCAAATTGAAAGAAGCTATGGTGATAATAATAATTATAACTTGACAACATATCAGGCTGCCCCAGGCTCTTCCTTCAAAAATAAAGGAAATGAAATATGATTTACTTTTCAGAAAGGTAAATAATTAGTCCGATAATGCCAGCAGCAACGAATGCAACGATGCATATGATACAAAGACGCTTTCTTGCACTTTTCTAGAACGAAACAAAAAAGTGATGTCATATATTTTTAAGCCTTTTCCAGTGAAATCTCTACAAAAAGTACACCTAGAAAATGCACTTGAATAAATGTTGATAGGTGAGAAAGAATCGCTTTTATTTATTTGGTCTCAACGCTGAAGAATGTTAGCTTTTGGGCGTCGAAATATTTTTTGAGCAGTAAATTTCCAAATTAATCTTTTTGAATTGAAAAATTCAATCAATTATTTTTTGGGTGTCTAAAAAACAATCTCAAATATTAAGTTCTGGACCCTAACGATTTACAAACGATTTACTTTTTAAAAAAGGCATGGAGCAAACTGTTTTTACAAATAGTAAATTTTTTTTGTTACAATGCGATCTGGTAAATACTTGAGAGCCTAATCAGCACCACCTTCGAATGGCGATGTTCTCAGTTCCATGTTGTCAGCGCAAAACAACATGGAACTTAGTCTATTTGATGCAGTCATACCAGACGTTTTTGAATCGAAATCTAGATTGATTGAAGAAACTGTTGGTGTAAGAAATTTTTATTTTTTGTCGTTTCACCCCAGTGAACTCGCCAGCCAAGACTTGAGCGATTATAAGAGGTCAAAGGCCCAAAGTCAAATGCATGTAGGTGGCTTTCTCCATTACTCTATCAACCAATTAATCCATGCAGCAAGTACTGCCTTCTTAAATCTTCATGCAGACCATCGCAAAGAATCCCTGACGCCCCATATAAGCTTTGGATGCAAAGAGATAAAATAAAGGCAAATTGATTCAGCGCAACACTTATGTATGGCAAGCATGTTTCAAAGATGCAATCATGTTGCTGCTGGTCTATTTCGCATTGAGGCAGCCATAAAAGTGGGACTTTCAAATCCATCCTGTATCTGTTCATACGTCTGATCCAATCACGTCTCTTATCAGGATTTAACTTGACAGTCAATCGGAAAGTTGAAGAGGTGAAATGGAGGTAAGCATTGACAATCATTGTTTGTAAAGCCTTTACCAAAGTCACAAACCTGTTTTTTTCAAAGTTTTAGCCAGCAGTTTGTATTTCTGCAGGAAAATACATCGCAATTTTCATTGTCCTTATTTGAAACCGGCCTAACCCTACATGGCCTTTAGAGCACGATACCTGACAAAAACTTTTAAAAAAGCTGTTTTCGAGACTAAAGACTACGGAAGATGTTTAAGAATCAAATTTACAAAATTTCGAATACTTTTGATGTAAATTTGTGTTGCGATTTGTAGCCAGTAAACGCCATATCTATATGTAAACATAGGCCTGTGGCAACTTTTTCACCCAATTCCTCGCCCTAGTCACTTTGCAAATACAGAGCCCCTATGCAAATTAAGCGCACGGATATCGAAAAGGTGTATTGTACGATACTTGGAAAGACCTGAAATTGGGGGAAAAGAAATGACATGCTTTACAGAAATACGACAAGCCATCAGGTGTTGCAGGTAATATTGTTTGAGTACTTCCTAATTTAAAGTACTTCCTAGAAAAGGATAACTTACTTGGTAATCTTTGGCTCTTTGTAACTGGACATTTGCATCTCGAACATGAACGACAGCTTGCTCTACGTTTCCTTCGATTGAATCTGCAAATGATTTCGAAAGCTGTAGGTCACGATACAACGCAGCCTTTTGGTATTTGTTTATCGACAACATCACAGTTTACTTATATAGATTAAATACTTAAATCTTCAGAACAAATCAGTCGAAGCTTTTTCACACAATCTAGCGTTTAAAAAGCAGAAAATGATTTACAGTTTTCCCAGAAATTCGAAGGAAACATTTGTTGAATATGAGGATGCGCTACTTTCTGTATAAGGGTACACCTTAGCCGGATTCATCTAAAAACAGGGATTCCCGTTTAAAGATTCCTTTTCACTGATACATTAAAATTTTCTGTATTCATAATCATTGTATGTTTATGATACTTACAACTTATTTCTTTTAATTCTTAGTCTATTACCTTTTCTGAGACCTGGGGCAAAATAAAAGATTAGGCCCGATAAAGATGACGTCATTGAAAGTGCGATTGCTGTTGTAATCAAGCCCTGCGCAGCCATTGGGCTAGCAGGAGCTATAGCCCCCCATTTTTTGCAAAAATTAGTTAGGGCATTTTTGGAATGTTCGCTCTAACGCAATATTAGAAGGCTTACTCTAAGGGATACTAACAAGTAGCAGTTCTTCTTGACTGGAAACCCTTTTTGTTCATTTCCTTGTGGTTCAATGATATGTTGTATTTTCTAACTTGGTTAGCTTGGTGTTTAATTATCTTCAAGCTAACTATACAGTATCTAACTTCATAGTAATTGATATTTTCTCTAAATCAGACTGCTTATAAATAAAAAACGGAAATAAGCAAGTATTTTCTAAAAGGGGCGTCATCCGGAGTTCCGAAGAACGTGGTCTCAAAATTTTTCGGTCATACCCTTTTCAGCCCCTCCCCCTCCCCAACTTTTAAACTGGTGCACGATGCCTTATTGTAATTGTTAGGAACTTTGATATGATTTTTTGGAGCCCCTCTCAGCTCGGGCACGGGCATTTCACCCCCCTCTAAGCGGGCTTGCCAACTACATACCTATTGAATCACCCTGTTCGTGAATTATAACTGCTAAGTCCCTGAATATCTCGTTGACGTCAAGAATATCTGTCTGAAATAGAAAAAGAAAGTATATAAGCAGTGTTTGAAAGAAAACCATCAGCTGGAATGTATTTTTAAACATCTGATTTTACTGGATGCCTAAAAGGTACGTTCTGTACTTTTAGCATGCAAAACATGAAATAACAGCATATATAGCAAACCGAAAACTTAAACTATCGCAAAATTCTGTTTTTTTTCTCGCACTGGCGGTAAAATGGGTTCATTGATGTTTCACGGGGACTTCTACTTCACAGGGGATAAAGAGAGCTTATGTTGAGAACACTGTTGACACTAATCACAGTTGTATCTTAATAGGTAGACACATTTCAAGACATTTTTAAAATGCTTCAATTCGAAGGTGTGCGTGAGACGAAATCTGGGATTTAGCTCAAGAATTCAGTTGGACAATTCTAATACTGCTTGAAATAACAATGTAATATCATTTGCTTGACGTTAAGTTGCAAAGACTTGCACACAACATCACGCAAAAACACCTTTCTTCAGCCATCCACCTTCCACATACAACAAAATGTATTCAGCAGATGCCACAATAGCGCAGCAATTAAACGCAATAACACCAACGCCTGCCAAGGTTGCGTTACAAGTGGAGGGCCACTAATTCATAGACGAGCTTTATTGAGAGAGCCTATAAGCACTGATAGTCGTGTCCAAGCTCATTTTGCTATCACAGAGACGAAAACATGACTGTCGTTCGTGACCTCGTAGCTCAGACCACACATATTAACATGGCGACCTACCTCTATCTGACGAAATCTGTTTTCCCTTTCCTTTATCGCCTCTAACTCTTGCTCCTCCGCATGAAGCTGGGCCTGCCTGTATCAGAAAGAGGTTTTTAAGAGGATTGATACTGATTAGCAAAAATTGAGAAAGTTCGTCATGGAAAGGTAAAAAATAGGGTTGCCATTTGGCCGTTTTGACGGCCAAATTCCTCTATTCTGGCCGTTTTTCAAAGCTATTGGCCGTCCAAAATTGATTTAGCCGAAAATGTAAAAGTTGTCCGAATTTTGGCCGCATGTTGAAAGCCACAAAAATACAAAGAAAACGACAATTCTTGCACAAAAAATATTCAAAATTTTGTTAGAACAATCTCAAAATTGTAAATAACGAAGCAAGAAACAAAGTAAAAGATAACAGAAAATTGAAATTGAAAGCAAGTTGGATCTTTTGTAACAAACAAAGCCAATTTTGATTACACTATTACTCTAAAGACTTAGCCAAAATGTAACTTTTTTGTATATTTTGTTTAGCTGGCCGAATTTGGCCGTCAAGCGTAAAATATTTGACCGCCAACCATTCCAAGCATCTGGCAACCCTGGTAGAAAGACTGCCAAAACCTTCCTACGGCAGCATGCTTTCATTGACTCTCATCAACATAGGCAAGGCACTGTTTAAATTCCAGCAATTTATCAAAACTTTCATAAAATTGAAGATCAATAACATACTGCTCTACGTCGTTAATCAGCAGCGTATCGTCGCTGTCATTGAAATTGTCTTGGCTGACATCGTGTTTTACAGGGCTTAAATGAAGCTCTTCGTCAATGTGGCTTTTGAGTTTCACAGACAAAACCTGAGATAGAGCAAGCAATACATTTGAAGCCTGTAATATAACTCATTGGCAAAAAATTGCTTGCAAAATAACTTTTTATATAACAGTTAGCTGTTTTCACTGCAAAATTCATGTAAACAGTAGGGACATAAAGTCCAATAAAACTTCTTTAATATTTTTGCAACAAATATTTCCCTTCAAAGAGACATCTCTTGCAGGAAAAGCAAGCACATGAATTTGTCAACTAAAAGATTTCCTAACAACTAAACAAACATAACCTGCTAAAGATTTTTAAGAATGATTTGAATGAATAACACAAAAAATCATGGGCTCACGTTTTGAATTGCCTGATACCTAGATAACGAATTTTCAAATTCTTGCTTCAACTTATTCTGCTGGAGTTTGTTTTGCATCTGGAAACAAAGAAAAAAAGTAAAGCATGTTGGTAAGTGCATTGAATTTTAAAGATAATCAATAAACAAATAAACAAATAAAGAGATGTAAAAAAGAAATGGACTTGGTTGAATAAAGTAAACTGCTTCCATGATTTAACTAAAAAAAACTCCCATTCATATCAGTTTACCAATAATGATAATTTCATGATAGTTTAATTGATAGCATGAAAATTTTTCAATATTCTTATTTGAAATGAAGGTAATTGACAGACAATGGAATGATGAGAACATGACATTTGATAGCTGTTAGAACATACAATATTTATGGAAAAACAGCAAACATGATAAAACACAGACGCAGCCAGAATCATTTAGTAAACTTAATGGAATCTATGTATAATCTACCACAGCGATGTCACCAGCCCATAAATATGTGATTGACAAAAAAGTCTCCTGACCATGCCCTTCAGACTCTCGAAAAACGTGGGAAACGCCTTTTTAGTATTTTTATCTGTTTTGAAGCTTTTTAGAAACAAACTTTCTCAAGCAGCTTTTATCATAGCAAGGTATTTTTATAAAAACATAAATAAAAAATTGATCTGATCAACCAGCTCTCCCTCTCAAGGTTTTACAACAGATTTCGAGAAAATTTAGCTTCGAGAAAACTCCAGTGGACATCCTATTCCACCTTTTGATGAGGCCACTGATCTACCATAATACTTTATTAAAAAAAAGCTTGCATTAGAGGAAAAACAAAATAGATTATATACCAAAAGCAGTGCTAAAAAGTGATGTGTCATATGAAAGGTAACTTATTCACTTTAAGAAATTTCACTTGACCCAAAGCCAAAACAAAAACAAGTGTTAAAAGGCACATCAGTTTTGCAGAACCATAGGAAGGATAAAATTATTTGGGGGCACCATTGTTTGAGAGCAATAGACACAAAAGGAATTGGGGGGCTTTTGTCTCTAAAAAAATTAACTTCTGCTGTAAGTGGTCAAAAAATGTATAAATTAGGCTTTAGTGTCTGTGTGCAGATGCATTAACTAAAACATGTGACAAGGATTTAAAGAAAGTAGATAACTAACCAATTTATTTCCTTGTGGATCAAACCGGTAATTGGTTGGTGAGCTGATATATTCTGACATTAGCTTGAAGTTGTTCTTTGCAGCTTTTGCCAGCTTGTTTGTTTCTTGTGACACTGAGTGACTATATGAGTGAACATTCAAGAAAAAATTATTTGAAAACAAAATGACAACCCAAGATCTATCTCTAATGACTGATTTGTTAGCTTAATTTTTTAGCAGTAAGAAATATGAAAATGACTTTGAAGAAAGTAAACATCTTACAACATAATAAGGGGCCCTAAAAATGAGACCAAAAAGTCATGCTGGCATGAAAATTTGGTAAAATTTGCTCACCACTACAGAAGACCCAAAATGGAACTGTTGAATGCTTTTCACGCGTTATTCACAGCATGAGTTTGGTTTTGGGTTTCATGTAAAGGGCATCTAAAGCTCATAACATTGCATTACTTCACCTCCCCCTGTCAGGAGTTTACCAATAATAAAAAAACCAAAAAAAAGAGCATATTGTATACAAGAAAATGCAGAAGCATCCCAATTTCTGTTATCATTAGATAGAATTTTCAGTGTGTCTTTTACATTGATATTTTTATTAATACTTATCATTGTTAATTTTATTAGCTTTGTGTCTGAAAAATGTGTAATCTAACAAATTCCTAAGCATTTTGAAAGAAAGATTACGATTTTCTTTCATTTGCAATAATAATGAGTGCTCATTGTATCCGGTATTTGTTATACTAAGAGAATTTGTAAGGAGCTAATTAGGCAGATGCCAAGTGGCCCAAAATTTTCTTTCTTATACAAAGAAGTTAATTATCTGGTTTTCATAATATCAGGATTTGGCTGTAGATTAGTCCTATGACTATGTGAGAATTTTTTATTCAATCCACAATCTTGACAAGGTGTTCAGCCTTTAAGTTGCATGAAGTATTTGTACTAAGGACGAATAAACATTTAAACCCATCTCAAAAACCCACAAAACCAATAATTAAGAACTTTGCTCTCAAAACAAAAAAGGCACATAATATTTTGCTTTACTGAAAAGCAGTTGGTGTATGATAAGGGGTGCACAAGCAATCACATGCCTCTTTGATAAAAACCTGAATCATTTAACTTTAAATGGGTACTGGTATAATGGAGAACTTTGATTTGAATTTGACAAAGAGAATCAGACTTGATCTCATCTTGCAACTGAATATGCAAAATTTGAAAAACTAGATAGTCAATGTACAATAGAAGAAAGCGCTATGTGAAAAACAAAAAAAACAAACAAACAAACAAATAAAAGAACAAAAAGATGGATGAGTATTTGATACTACATATCTATTATGGAGTTACGAAAACTTACATTCTGTCCTCTGCATCTTGAGATTTGGATTTTGCTTGAAATAATTTGGAGGTACTTTCCAAGACCGACACTAAATATTCAAAACAGTGAGCTTAA